AGATTACTCTATTGATATTTACATGCGTTGAGATCGGAGAAGTTTGAATTTGGATCTATCGACCTCCCGTTATGGAGCATCCAGAATTTGGCAAATTGATGAACTCGACTTAAGCTTTGAAGTCATTTTGTCTTTAGTTTCTAAAAGAACGTACAGGAAACTGGTTTCAAATGGAAAGTTGCATTTGGGAATTTTTGGCCAGATTCTAGATGCTCTTTACATGTTAAATAAGAAAATCAAAGTTAAAATTCTCTGATGTCAACACGTGCCAACTTTGGTTCGCATTCATTTATGTTATGCTTGGTTTAGTCAACTCTCATTAGTACACACAGCTCACATAATATTTATTTACCTATTTCTGGCCAGCCCTGGTGGATGTCTGACAGATGCAGAAACACGATACCATGCTTCTCATGCTTTGAGAAATCATGCAATTAATATACATCATTTAAGTCTATTATGTTATGTATTTAATATACATAACATTTATGAATTTCCACACAATTATAGACAACTTAGAGGACCCTCAAGCGTTTACGAATGGTTTGCTGCATAATAGTGTTTATACTATCCATCATTTGCACAATTCATATATAATGGACACTGACAAAATCATTCTGAAGGCCCAAGTCCAACGTGGTATTATATTTAACACTTCTGAACCACCACAGCAGGAGGTGCCGAGTCAGTACATACCTGTTACAACTCTCGAGTTAAGGTGGAACCTTGGCTGGTACGTTAAGAGAACTATTTTTTCCCATATTAGGAAACAGATGAGATTTCATTGCATTGAGGTAATATTAAGCTCCTCATTGTGTTGTTGTCGAGCTGTAATTGTGTTGGCATGCGGAATGCTTTACAGGCTCACAAACCTTGCAGCTCTCTGCGTGTGACGTAATGGAGCAATTGCTCGCGTCCTTCAACAAACCTGGAACCAACCTGCTTCAGACATGAACAGCAGTTAATTGCATTGGTCTTTTGCTTCATAGCTATTTGTGGGACATTACTACGCACCAATTACCTGCTGCATTCGCCTACAAAATACACAGACACTCCACTTCGCACTTTGGGACGTCTCTCCAATGTAATAAAGCGCTACTCAGATTATTATCAATATATTTGGAATTGAAGAATTTTCCACAATTCTGTGCAATCAAAATGAAGGCAATGAATGAGGCGTTGAGGGCCTTATTATCTGCTCGTTTACAGTAGGACCATGGATGTGGAACTGTGGCTAAATATAGAAAATTAACATGTTGGGATCTAATCTGTCGTGAATCTCAGCCATTAGCTTAGATTTGTGCCAAGATCCTAAAGTCTAAAGAAGGCTGGCGACCAACTTGGAGTGAACTCCTGGGAAAGAATACGTCAGACATGCGTGGAGAAGAAAGAATACATAGAAAGGTGTCTTTCGAGCGCTGATGGGACACGAGAAATTCAGAGGAGTCATTTCCATAGTAATATCGATTAAATGCAGGAAGACGGAGAAGGTTATCCAAGAGAGAGTTTGGAAGCGTAAAGTGAAACAACAATGACTTGCATTCATATAATAATAATAATATAATAATAATCCTAGCATTTGATATCGTGCCTTATCATGTCGTTCAGACGTCTCAAAGCGCTTCACAGGATATACTGTGAAGTGGAATGACTGTATTTTGAGGGGGTATAACACCCTTCAGTGTAACGGCTCAGAGGATGGTCACATTCTGGATGGACTTGGGCTTGATAGAAACTTAAGAGCTGTGCTGACACTGTACGTTCCTGCGTTAGTACCCACATATAGTCACTGGTCAGCATATTATTTCTAAATTTCCACAGAGTTCATGCAGGACGACTTCGCTATTGCCAAAGCAAGATTGTGTGATTTTCCTTGAAGCGCAAAGAGCCAAGTCTTTGAACGGAAAGAGTAAATTCTGGCCAATTCCAATAATGCCGTGCAAATGTGCGTGCGACTGTTTCTGATTCGACTTTGCATCCTCCCCGTTTGACATTATTATTTCTCTCAGTGCTTACTGTGTTTTTCTCGGTCTGCAGTATATCTGGCTGATCTTCATGTACCGTACTTAAAAGTAACTTCTGTTTTTTTTTACACACACACACACACACACACACTGTGGCGATTTGCTTCCATCGTTTCCCACGTGAAAGTGACTGAAGGGCAACCAGGCTTTTACTGAAAGTGAATGGAGCTCTGCGAAAAATTTAAAGGACTGAATTGCAAACTGGGATTTAGATGACGCTGTGGTGTCCTCTGGTGGAGACTTTAAGCAATCCCTCATTCCACGAGGGATGGAATAATCTTAATTCAATCTGTTTTTACTTCTCAGTCTTCTTCGTTCAATGTGTTTTTACTTTCGTGCTCCTGAAAAAGCAAAAGGAGTTAGTCTTTGCTGCAGGTTTAAAAGACCAGTAGGTTTTAGTTAACTCCCCCCCACGCAAGGCATTGTTCACACACTTCCCAAACTAGACCCTAAGAGCAGATCGCCTTTTAGTCCTACTTTTTCTAAGGTAACGGGAAACAAAACCATAGAGATCTGCAAACGAGGCTTGATCCAAAACTGCTCAGGGCTATCTTCCTTGCTCTGCAATAAAAGTAACTTCTTTTATTGCAGCTATGAATTAGAATTAGAAGTCTGCTTTGCCACTCATTCACCAGCAGAGAGCAATGTTTAGTCTTCAGCAACTTCCATTAAACGTACGAGCAGAACCTACGTGACGAGTCCAGTCTTGGAAAGGTAAATAAAAGCCATGCAACGTCATGGCTGCTGTGAATTCAGATTGGTGTTGCATTGACTTTACTTGTGCCCTGGCTTTCAACTCTCCAAATGCCACCCCCGACATGGAAGCAGGTCACTGACACCATGAGCCACCACACCTGGAGTCAGGTCTGCACGTTTGGCTTTGCCGTGCAAATGGCATCACTGCCCCCAACCACATGGCAACAGAAGGCCATTAGCTCCTCTGTGAGGACCCTGCTGGACTGAGCTTCTTCCTCATCACCTTCCCTCAACGCACTCTCAGTGTAACACTGGATGCCTTGTTTGCTGTCATGTTGAAATGGCCATTTATATACAACAGAGATACCCAGAAGGTGATCATCATTGTGCTTGTCAATCAGGCCCCAGAAACTTGATCTGACAACAGCTTCTGATTGATTACTCATTGATTGAACACTGATTGACTGATTGAATAGCGCTGCCTTTAGTTTGGAAACCTTCTTGCCAATCAGTCCTTTTTCTTCGTTCAATGAAGCCTGAAGCACTCTCAGGTCAGACATAATATGTGCCAGACGCAGAGATAGGTTCCTTTACCTTACAGTACCCTTAACCCATGATCATCTCATGCAATGTCAGTGTGAGGTTTCTATTTTGGACTCTGCCAGGTTCTCGATTTTTTTGAACGAGATTACCCTTTAACATGGCACATACCCATGCCATGTTACGAGCTCTACCCAATAGGAATTGGATTGAGATCTCTTGTATTGTAAAGCCCTTCATAAAGTTAGATACATTTCGTTCGGGATACAGTATATATGAGCTGTTCAGGACATGACCCCTACATACAGCTGCCAGGACGTTGAAACTAACTGGATGTATCTTGGTCTTTTTCCGTCTAGCATTTCCATGTTTCTATGTTCCTAAATTCTGTAAAGTGTAGTTAGACTACGTACCGTGTAGGCAAATTCAGCAGCCAACCAACACACAACAACATCCCACAAACTGCCGTGAAGTTAATGACCAAATTATCTGGAGGATGTTGGCCAGGACACTGGGAGAAACTCCCTTGCCTTTTTGAACCGTGCTGCGAGATCTTTAACATCAACAACAACAACAACTTGTATTTATATAGCGCCCTTCACTCAAAGTAGTAGCGTCCCAGTGCTCTTGACAGTGGCAGAAGACAGTTGGGACCTCGGTTTAACGTCTCACCTCGAGGATCTCGGACTCATCAGAGAGCTGATGCTAAAATTTTCCTGCCACCCCACATGGTATTTTGAGTGAGGCCAGAGGAAATCCAGGTGGGACTGCTCTTGGGCTTGGCAAAATCAACAAGACGCAAGTCCCAGTGTTCGGAGTGGGGGTGGAATGGGGGTGGACTATTTGCCTATGTTTTCATCCACTAATAGTGACCAAGGAAAACTGATGGCCCTTTGTGGATTTTTGTTTTGCCTGCAGCACAAAGGTAAGTGTGTAGATTTTTGCGAAGTGTAAGGTCCGAGTCAGACAGACAGAGGGAGAGAAAATTTGAGCAATTCAGAGAAACAAAGAGTGACTGAGAGGGAGACAGAGAAATACAACAGGAGAGGTTAGTCCCAACAAGTGTTACCTCCCACACCAACCATCCCAACCTCTTTTCATAAATTGCAATCGCGACATTTTCATGGTTACAATTTATGCCAAGACCTCTCTGTTACTTTGAATATTTTATTTCCTCGATCCTCCTGAAATAGTACATCCATCAGAGAGAGGAGACTTTTGTTCTGTCTGCATTCGAACCCAGGCTGTTTAGATAAAAACACAGAGCTCTAACCCACCGCATTTCAGTTGCCATGTGTCGTTATTTTAAAAGTAGGAACAGTCCATGCATTATATTTAACCTTACTTACATTTCACTGTTGGATTGACTATCTATGAAAAAAGATTAATTATTAATGACAGATAATCAACCTTACGGTTCACTTTATTATGAGCAAAATTTTTTTTAAACAATGTTATAAATTGAATGCAGTATTTAATAACTTATTTTTATTCATAAATTAATTTACATAACAGTGCTCGCTCGATATCTATAGATTTTGAATTGACGCTTAAATAGAAACCCCCAAAAGTTCTAAACGAAAGCACACGGCTAAGTAAAATATAAATTCATAAGGAAATTCCTCAATATTTCTCTTTTTCAATAGCAAGAAAATCTTGAAAAAACAGTTCGTAAGAAACTAAGAATATATAGAATCAAAATCTATACTATGTCAAAACAGGATGCAATGTCTTTAGGTTTCTGTGATGGTATGAAGAGAGTGGTGTGTCGGATGAAACCTTTGATCCCATCATTAACCAGTCGTCAAATGGACTGATAGGTTACGAGGAAGGTCGAAGGCTGCTCTAAATAAACCTTATTCTGCTAAAAGTAAATACTGTAGGAAAATGACCAGACAATGATATTAATGGTCATGTGTTTGTAAAACACCAAACTTATGGCGTCGCTATTTCCTTGTATAAAAGGTAGGAATGAGCATTTGACTATATCAAACGCAAGGACGGTTATTATTATTATTATCAAAAATCCAGATGCTCTGAATCCGTACCTGAAGTTCAAAGTTAGAATAACTTCTTAGTTTCTGGGGTAGAATGAAGAGATTGGAACCCAAGATTTCTTCTGTTCTTAGGCTGAAGACCATTCGGACCACTTGTTGCCCTGCGATGCAATTCAGACAGGATTTTCATACACGTAAACTATGTGTGGAATGTAAATCGCTCTAGTAGAAATGTTGTCTTGCAACTAACTAAACGTTAAACACGCACGGCAGGCTCGGAGGAGTGCTTGATAGCATAACAGAACAATAATAAATTGGTCATTTTCAATCCATGACTGTTTGTGGGACACTGCTGTGCGCAATTGGCTGCCGCGTTTTGCCCACAAATATACGGTCTTTTCACTTTACAGTCTATTCTGTGAAGCGCTTTGAGACGTCGAAAAGACGTGAAAAGCACTATATCAAATGCAAGGATTATTTTTATTATAAGGCCAATTACTCATTAAAATGGATGAGTCTTAGGAATTGTGGCAAACGGTCTTGAACCGAGATTTCACCTGGAGGCGGATCAAGTCAGCGCTCACAGTTGTTTTGGAGTAGAAGGAAAGTTGCCATTGTAAATTCCATGTGATTGTTTTTTTAAATCTTAAGATGAGCGTGTGCAGCCTTTACCACCACTCAGTAATAAGAAAATACTTGTTCTTAGACAACGGTATATATTTTGCTTTCAGTTCCTACCTCAACCACGTGCAATTATCATGCGACCTTTTAGCATAACAGGCCCTGCATCGGAGGAATTTGTTTCTTCTTTGCCTGGGTGTGCCACTCGTTTAAATGCTTATCTCATACCGACCGCGCTTGATTGCAAACTGGTCTGAACTGGGACAAATTTGGATTCTGCCAAAGACATCTGAATCGATCCATTCGCAATCGGTGTGGATTTGTACTTCAGTCTCAGTGCCCATCTCCGGGAAAGAATCCTCTCCGACAGGCAACACATCCTCATACAAACCGGTCTGTGAGGCGGGGATCGTGACAATTTGAGGGATGGTAACGTCACTTAAGTCTTCCTCGATTGCTCTCCATTCATTTTCAGCGACGGCGATTTCACAGTCCTGACTTCTCCCGTAGGCTCTATTCCAGATTGGGTAATATAACATGTTTAGGGACTCAGACACCAATTCTCTGTGGTACTCTGTCAAGCATCTCTGTGTTTCCATGTCAGGATTAGTAGTGAAGGTCTCCTAATAAAAAAAAACACACACATACAAGGTACAAATGCAGGGTTTTGTTTTCAGAGCTTAGTCTCGAGCCATTTAATTGTCGCTAAATGGATTCATTACAGTAGAGCCCAGTTCTAATGCAGTAACTGGGGCCCATAAAATTTCAACCAGCACAATAACAGGGCACAATCACCGAGCAGGGCTTCCATATTCACTGTGTATGCACGGCACACAGGAAGTAGTGTTGACAGTGGCCTGATAATAATAATAATAATACTCCTTGCAGTTGATATAGCTTCGCACGTTTCGCCCCCCAAAAAAATATACAGTCAATTCACTTTACAGTATATTCTGTGAAGTGCTTTGAGTCGTCTCAAAGACGTGATAAGCTGCTATATCAAATGCAAGGCTTATTATTATTATATAGCGCCTTATTATGTCTTCGAGACGTCTCAAACCGCTTCACAAATATACGGTAAAATGAATTGACTGTATATTTTGTGGGTAAAATGCGGCAGCCAATTGCGCACAGCAGCGTCTCACAAACAGTCGTAGATTGAGTGACCAATTTATTATTATTATTATTTTTTTGAAGGAATTATTTTACCCCCGGAAAAGCGATCCCGCGAATCGACTAACAACCAGGTTCTCACTAACTGCAAGGTAATCAGAGGCGTGTGGAGTAAGAAAACTTGCGAGGCGAGTGCTCTAACCACTGAGCTACAGGTCTCCCTTTTGGCTTGCCATGTGCTAGCCGGCATTTTGCAACTTCAAAGGAGCCAGCACACATATCTTAGATTTTGTGGGGTAAGTAAATATCGAGGTCCACAGCCCAATTGTGCTACAAGTGAACCAACGTACATTATAAAGAAGTGCATTCTTCTGGGATTCTAATGGGACTCTTCTCTTTTAACTGCAGCGACCGAATCTCTGTACGTCTACTGTAATGTGGATCAGATCTTACTTGGAGATCCCCAATTAGCTCATTTGGATAAAAGCATTGCCTTTCGTGAAACACTTACACAGGTGGCTAACACATACCTGTCGCTGATGCTGGCAAATGCTTTGTTCCGTGTTTACGATGGAAAACCCCACTACAAATTAGTATGCAAAGTTCTCTCGCGTTTGAGCAAATCAGCTCATCCATGGCAAGAGTCAAGGTCACTATAAATTGCCCCAGACTTAGAGTCCCATAAGCGGGAGGAATGGGTTCAATTCCCAGGGGGTGGGAGGTGAAACCTTAGGTAAGTTTCCTTACTCCACACGCCTCGGTTTACCTACAGTAAGAAGGAACCCGGTTGTTAATCGATTGGCGGATCGCTTTTCAGGGGTAATCATCCCCCCTAAAACAACACGCAAACTTTGGTCACTCATTCCACGACTCTTTGTGGGACACAACTGTGCGCAATTGGCTGCTTCGTTTCGCCCACAAAACACACAGTAAACTCACTTTACAAAGCACTTTGAGACATTTGAATGATGTGATAAGGCGCTGTGTCAAATGCAAAGATTATTATTATTAATATGAGTCAGCGTCTACAGGGGAGGAAAGTGGAGATTGCAGAGGGCCAATTTCTCATCTGCATGAACAATTCCAGCAAAGCTCATTTATCTTTCAAGAAATTGCTAGTTTTGAGCTTTGCAACATGAAGCAGAATGAGAAAGCACATATTGGGATAAAAATCCCACTCAGCATTACGCGTCATGCCTTTGGTAATGTTCAACGATAATTGAAACCAATTAGTGTTTGGCATTGACAACGGTGACGTCTGCAACACTGAATGGAATTTTTACCCCATAGTTTGCAAATATGAACAGGTTAATAAATAGGAACTTGTGTTAGGAAATATTAAAGCTTATAAATGTTACTGAAACCGTGCAACGCTTAAAAAACGGGTTTGGTGCATCAATTGCAAGATCTGGCTTGCGATGGTGGCCAGCGTTTCTCTTTGGGACGCTCGAGAGGGTTTTGTATCTCAACATTGCGAATCGCAGACTAGAATTTGCCGTTATCACGGTTTCCATTTTGTGAATATCGCATCTTACGCCCCAATTATTGAAGTCTTTATCTCGTTCAGAAATAAGAACAAAGTCACTTTTACAGTGAAAAAAACCTTTTTACAACGTGCTGGTCTGTGTCCAATACCTCAAGCCCCAAATTGATATCAGCCTGGCTCATTTGGTAGGACTCTCACCTCTGAGTCAGAGAGTTGTGGGTTCAAGCCCCATGATGGGACTTTCAACTCAGGCTGATACTCTAATGCAGGGCTAGGGATGAGTGCGTCCTTGGAGCTGCCATCCTTCAGACGAGGCATTAAACTGCCTGTTCAGGTGGACATTAAAGATCCCATGGAACAATTGCATTGAGAAGAGAGTTTCTCCCGCTGTCCTGGTCACCAATCCAGCAAATAAAATTGGTCATTCATTTTGTTGGACATTAAGTGCGCAAACTGATTGCCGTGTTCACCAACAAATACAGTCACTAAATTTTAGAGTAAAGCCTACAGTAAGTACAGTCATTACAATTTAGAGTGAAACACTTTGAGACGTCCCCTTGACGTGAAAGGCAAACGGACTGATTATTACTTATCATTCTAACCGTTACCGTTCCTGATGAACAAACTGTGGAAACATCGTAAAGATGTCAGCAAAAAGAGGAAAAATGTCATCGCGGAGGACAGCTTTTTAAATCAATTTGTTTTGCACTCCTGTAAAGAGTTTGGTGCGCTAAATTGATTTACTATATAGCTCGTTGCCTTTCAATCGAGAAGTTGCGACTTAAGATAAAATTGCCGCCAGCTGGCAACTACAGCAGTCAGCCATTTCTCAGAAATAAATTCTGCTGTGCAATTCAGCCATTTGAAACATAATTCTTGAAGGGTTTCAATCTAGTAATAAGTGTGCGATGTTTTCTTATTCGTAGTCGGACAAAAGTCAGTGTGTTTTGTGCAACTCTTACTCTCGAGGCTTTCTTATATCAAACTATGGCAGAACTGACCTTACCTGACCCGGCCTGACCTGAGCGTCGTTGGTTTTGATACTGTTCCAAAGGCTCGTTTCTTGAATAAACTCCTGATAACTCATCACTCCAAGGGAAGAGGGCTCAGTGATGAGTTATCAGGAGTGGCGAGTTAGGCGTATGTATAAAATACATAAATAAATGCGGCCCGGATATAGACAGCAAGGTGATTTAAGTCAGCACGGTCCAAACAACCGACGGATGATTTTGTGGGGCCAGCAAACCACTTCCAACCTCACTGCTTTACCTCTCTTCTGGTCTGTCTCCATGAGAAGGGTGGGGGGGAGATTTCCTTCCGTATTCCTCCCCGTCATGTTTCATGCTGACCAGGCCCTCGTGCAACCTGGTGAGATGCAGCGAGCAGCAGTCAGAAGTACTTTGCAATTCTAAAACTACAGAACTTATGAGTCTCAGTCGGAATCGCAAGGTGGATATGGAGACGAGAGGATTTCATTGCAAGTGGGAAGTGGATTACTGGTTTATTGAAACTGAGTGATGGAAAACCCCAGTGACTTGTTTCCATATCTGTCTTGAAGGATTCCAGAGTTAATTTTGTAATTGTGGATTGGTTTTGTTGAGCATTCTCTATCGGAGCCTCCATCTGCTGAGTTGATATCTTGTGTTTCGACTTTAATACATTAAAAAATTTGATGCAGATATTTCCATTTGAGATGATCATTATGAAGTAATGCTCAGGTCCAAATCCCTGACTGTCCAGCACCTTGGGGCGTCCTCCCAACATGGAAGGCGCTGTACAAGTGTTATTTTGTATTGTAACACAGTCACACAATTTAAAACATAGGATTTCTGTATGTTTTATGTTCCCGGAAGGGAAAAACTAAAATATTGCTACTTTAATAATAATTAATAACTTAATTAATAATCAAACGGACGTTTCTCAAACGTGGCATCTGGCCCAAAAGGTTGGACCACCTGATTTAAGTGATAATGACAAGTTTAAGACAGGGTCGAATTATCAGTAGTTTACTGTATTTACTGAAGAAAACAATTAACCAAACTACTTTGGTGGACGCAGTCCTACAATATACAAAAATGACAGTGTTCTGTGCAGACTCAGCATTGATGTTAGATCCCTTTCAAGAGTTAATAGCTTGAAAAGTGGACTTAGTAGGAATAAATGGTCAGTGACAGCTCGGAACACATTGATCAGAGGCAGTACAGATGGAATAGAATTACTATTGTGCCAATGCAGATTCAGTTTGTGAAGGCTAAAAAGGCACAATCAGGTTTAGATTGTTAGGATTAAAGGAACAGACAAATCCATTGTACGACTGCCAATTCAGTCATTCCATTCTCAATGTTTCCTAGCAATCCTGTTTTGCAGCTGCTTCAGTACTCTCTGTGACGTATTCTTCTGTCTGTACTTAACATAACATAAGAAATGCTGGACAATTCGCCTTCCACCTTCCTGGCGGTCGTATGTGCATATGTCCCAAACTACCTATGTACTACATCCCACAATGTTACCTCCTAAAAGAAAACTATCTAATCTGTGTTTGAAAGTTCAATGCACGTAATTATTACTACTGTACTCGTCAGCATTTACTTGTCAGCAAATGATGAAGAGCCCACAGCACAGAGGAAGTTGAATGTTGATTATAAATACCAAGGCACAAATGCGAACTTTCTGGTACATTTGAGGTAGTAACACGTTGAAGCATTAACATGTTGCAAACACGTTGTGGTGGACTTGAATCTGCCCTCTGCAATTATACTGGGAAAACACGCTGTCTCCCTGTATCTAACCAATCCATATTACTTTAAAGCTGTTTTTTTTAAAATCGACTTTCTTCAATGAAAAATGTGTGCTCGGAACTCAGAAAGATGATTCCCCCAGGTATCCGATTACACAGTGGAAAAAGCCAGTACCAAATAAGGACAATTTCTAATATAAGTGATACTTTTTCTCAAGAAAACGCACTGTAATATTGGTGTGTGGGTTTGCAGTAATTCACCCTAGGATTTGTTATATTAGAATTCCGGGTAACTCTTGGCAATCAGCTCCAGTTCCTGAGTAACATCCTCTGGTTACTAAATAAACAGGCCCCCTTTTTTTTATATGAAGGAATACGACAAATTTGACACCGTTAAAAGGTGTGCTTCACAATACCGGGAAGCTTTCATTGACTGAGTTCCTGGTACGGATGACAAATGTACATTGGAATATTGGCATTGTCCGGCCGCTGGGGAGTTTTTGAGAAGCAGGAAGTTATTGATTCTAAGTTACTGTTTTATTTGTTACACAAATTCATTTTATTTATTCACTGGTAATAATCACATGTGTGGAAGCGTCAACTTAGACTATATGAGTTCCAAGTCCCGACGTGCGACTTGAACCGACAACGGAGGTCAGAGGAACGACCAACTGAGCCAGACTGACTACTTCACTCCTTCCAATGCTGCAACACCCTTCCCGTGGTATGTGGCAATCAGAATTGCACACAGTACTCCAAATGTGCTCTAGCCACGGTTTTACGTAAATGTAACATCTCTTTCCGTTTTTATTCTAAGGTCGTGCATGACAACCTTCTCACTTAGCGGCAAGATTGCTACCAATTGAGCCAGGCTGACAACCTAAACGGGATAAATCTGGAGAGCTGCAGGTACAGGCGCTGTTGTTCCTCACTGTGGGTGCCCTCTACATGTGAGTTTACCTGACCTGTTCTTCGGCCTAATATTCAAATGTGTTTGTTCACCCACTACGGATGGCACTGACTGTTTGTTCCATTACACCCCTGTGCCCACCACACTATCCACATCTACTCCACAAAACCATCACTAAAAACAAACACAAAAATCAACCAACGCACAAATTAGATCTTATTTTACATTTTTATGTAAACTGCAATATTTCTCCTTTTTCTATGTGAATTCATTTCTGGATATTCTCCATTTCATTTTTTTTTAGATCCAGCGCATCCGAAATGCTACCCCATGTGTAATAGTAATAATAATAATAATAATAATCCTTGCATTTGATATCGCTTCTTATCACATGGTCGAGACGTCTCAAATGGCTTCACAGGATATAGTGTAAAGTGGATTGACAGCCAGTTTTCCCAAAGCGATGTCTCACAAACAGCCACAGAGCGAGTGACTAATTTTATTTGGGGGATAGTTGGCCAGGACACAAGGAGAAACTTGTCTTTTTAAATAATGCCATAGGAGTGTTAGCACCCACCTGAATAGGCAAATGAGACCTCTATTTATCTCATACAAAAGATGGTGCCTCCTACAATGCAAAACATCTTCAGCACTGCATCATAGCGTCAGCTTAAGACTATGATTCCAAGTTTGCTTTAGAAAGCAAGTCTATTTACATATACATTGTTTATTAACAATCCAAGCCCATGCCTTGCCCTTGATACGCCCACAAATATACAGTCAATTCACTTTACAGTGTGTTCTGTGAAGCGCTTTGGGACGTCCTCCTGACGTGAAAAGCGCTATATCAAATGCAAGGATTATTATTATTATTATTATTAAGTCCTAATGTAGGGTTTGGAACCCACAAGCTTCTGACTCAGAGGTGAGAGTGAGCCAGGCTGACACACACTGTTAGAGAAGGAGGGATGAGCAAGTCCGACTCAGACCTTTTCTCAAAACTCGTAACGCATGTTGTTCAGAGAGTACGCTGCTTGGTGGCCGAACAAAGAACTTAGGAAACCTTTCGCAAATGAGGCAGGTGGAACTTTAGTGAAAGACAACTCTGGGTCGAAAATTCTGGGCTGCCCAATGGGGTAGTTGGTCCTGCTGGGCTGTATCACTTGTAAATTGTAGTTGAAATAAATCTAATTTCTGCCGAGAGTATAAGAAGGTGCAAAGGTGCTTACATTTTCTCCACTAGACATAACCTTGGGTTTCAAACCCAAAGACTGGCGAGTGATGACCAATGTTCTTTCTGAGGAATCACTGATAGAACCCAACATTAAATCCTTCCTCCGTATGCACGACAGACAGCAGAGGCAGAGGCACGGGATGCTTTTAGCAAGAGCTCTCCTGTAGAGACAAAATTAATATAGGAATAAAGCACAGATCATTTGGTGAGCTAGTACAGTCAGATATATTATTTTATAACTGAAACTCCCATGAGAGAAGCTCATTTATACATTCATCACATATAAGGTTGAGTATACAGGAGGTAGTCAGAACAGTTTTGAATATATCATATTGTTTCTCTGTGGAGTGTTATATGTAGAACACTCTGCCGTTACAATAAGGGATGCTGCATTGAGTAATTCCCTCCAATGAAAACATCCCCCACAGCTTCACTCAACGTTATTCATAACAATAATAATCCTTGCATTTGACAATCCTCATCGGATCATATCACAGAGTTTTATTCTTCTTATTAATAATAATAATTAATAATAATAATAGCCATGTGATCTCCCTATGGTCGATGTTGATGTGCTGAAATCAGGCAAATTTATATTTGATACCCGAGAAATCTCTTCGCTTAGCTCCCGTTTGTGACTGCATTTGAGTTCAGTCTTGTCAGGCTGAGTTGCGAGGGTGGGGTGAAGCGGATCAGTTTCAGTGCATAGCCTTGTTCGGTTCACAACATACAACAACAACAACTTGCCATTATATTAGCACCCTTCACACAGAGTAGCGTCCTAGACCGCTTATTGGGTCCGAGTGTTGGGTGGGGAATTGGGTGTTTTCGGCATCTTGACTCATAAATACAGTCAATTCACTTTCCAGTGATAAAATCTGAAAATGCATTTTTAAGTAAAAGCTCAAAGGTATTAGGAGCTCTTTATTCAAGTTTCTTTTCCATTCATTTTCTATCCTGTGATTCTACCCAATCAAATCTTTCTACCCATTTATTCCGCAGTAATCAATAACCCGAATAAAACACTTAACTCAATTACTTTCATTTTTCTAACATTCATCCTCCATTTGAAAAGGGGAAGTACTTTTGTATAAATTTATAATAATAATAATCCTTGCATTCGATATAGCATCTCATCGCGTCTTTAAGACATCTCAAAGGGCTTCACGGAATATACTGTAAAGTGAATTGACTGTATATTTCGTGGGCGAAAGCAGCCACAAAATTTGATTTTCATTGGCTGAAGATGACCTTTGAAAGTTATGTTTTTTTCACTTAAGTTAAAGCCCGAACACTGGAGATGAACACTATCATGTATTGTACAGTATTTGGTGTAGCCATGTCAATCCATAACATTTGAATAGGCATCCAACACAAACAGAGGCAAACTGGTCATCTTCTTTGATACCAGAATATAAGAAGAACCAAGACAGGGGAAATTAAAAACAAAAGTACCCTTGGGCAAAGGAGAGTTCAATGAATACACTTACTTGTCCTTGACCACGGAATGATAAACAGTGCGAAAGATGAACTTGACTGAAAAGCTCCAAAGTCTACGCTCTCTTGATTTCAAAGAATATCGCAAAACCTTTTTACTTGTGTCTACATGTCGCAAATTCATATCCACCCAATCACTGAGTTGAAATGCTCCGTGAATTCACAAGGTTACTAATTTCACTTAAAAGGGTAATGACAAAGCATCAGTACGCACGCACACATGCGGAGAACAGAGTTTCCCCTCCAAAGAGTGAACATCTGTCTCAGGAATGTGTTGCACAAAGCACCTACAGCACGATGGGAATCCGGTACTCACTCACCTGTAGTTGGGGTGAATTATTGCGTAGATGACGGGATTGTAGATGGCAGAAGCTTTTGCTAATACGGCAGGAACGGTTTTCGAATAGGGAGTCAGGATATCGCCATGCCTGAGCAAAGGACCAAAAAGTGTGAATAAGATATAAATGAAGACAGTTGTCAGTTCAAAAATGAAGCAAGCTGTGAGGATCAAACCGAGATGATGAGGGTGGACAAGGAAGGCCAACACATGCAAATTTATTTAGGTAAATTCAGAGTTAATGGGATAAAACTCTGCTGGCTGTCAGCACAAATGAGGAATTGAACACATGTAGTTCAAAGCTAATTTTGATAAGATTAATTAAAAATGTGTCAGCATTGACTGTTCCCAGATTTTGGTATCTCATTTTAATGAAATCACATTGAACTCTCTCTTCCAGCACTGACGTCAACGCAGAGCCAGGATGAAATCTGAAATCTGAAGCCAGCAGTTGTGACTACCGCATCAAAGACAAATAAAGAGGCGATGGATAAAACTCGTGCGCTTTCCCAAGAGTTTTCATTTATATCCAGCTGTCTGCTGATCTAATACTTTATCTTGTGAATTATTGAATGGGGTAACTGAGATTTCAGTTGTTTTCAATCACTGTACATGAGTCTGACATCGATTGATCTAAAGATTCAGCAGATCATAGTCACCCTTCAAACAGCATAAGGCATCCCATTCTCCTGCCAACCTTATTTTAACTAAATGAAATTCCTGTTCGATACCAAACACTGGTTGTTTTTTTTTTGCACCGGTTTGTGAGTGACCAAAGCCACATCAGGCAGGAAACCTTGCAGATCTTAGAGAGCGAGAGAGGTGGCATTCATGGCAGAAAGAATAGTATAATGTAAAAGACATGAATAACAAATAATTTCATTGCCCACTGTTCAGTTACGCTTTAGAGACTTGTGTGACAGTGTACTGGTTGGGGTTTTCATCGCTGCTCTCCACACTGCCACAAGTTCCCGCCCACGGCTATGGGATCAGGGAGAGAAGAGGTGTCTGGACTTAAGTCATATTTTCTAGGGGTCCTCACAACCAGACGCTAGGAGGGTCGATGGAGGTGGAACTAATTCAGTGGAGCGGAAACCTTTACTAAGGTCACAGCTTTTAGGTCTATGGTATCTTGGTTGTAGGATTCACAGTACGTTCTGCAGTCTATTCTAATCACCTCACTCTATCTCCTGTGGTTTGAATCTCTCTTCGTTCCAGTCTGTACTTGTTTTTCGATATTTTTTCAGAGAAAGCTCATATTAGTGATAAGTGTAGGAAGTGGGTTAAATGTCAGCGATCATTCAATTAGCCAGCTTTCTACTCTACTGTATGCAGGCGAGATGGGGGGTGGGGGAGAGGGGGGGGTGGGTGGAGGAATGAACCGATTGGCGTCAGACTTCTGTTACCATCTTTAATCTGTATCTCAACAACGTCACTGTTTTTTCAACCAGAAGAAAGCAAACGACAAAAAACAAGAGAGCGTGCACAGCGATTGGTGATTCATATCAGATGCCAAACTATAATGATATATAATAATCCTATTAAATGTAAAATAGATATTATATATCTTTGTTACATCAAATGCAAGGATAATTATATGTGTTATTATATAATCCTTGCATTTTATATAGACATGTCAAAGCGCTTCACAGAATATACTGCAAAGTGGATTGGCTGTATGTTTTGTGGGCGAAATGCAGTAGTCAATTGTGTACAGCAGTGTCCCACAGACTGTCATGGATTGAGGGACCTAATTATTATTATTTGAAGGGACTATTACTCCCAGAAAGCGATCTGCTAATCAACTAACAACCGGGTTCCTACATACAGCTAGGTAAACAGAGGCATGTGGAGTAAGGAGACCTGCCTAATGTTTCGCCCTCCCCGGGAATTGAATCCGGGTCCTCTTGCTTGCGAGGCGAGTGCTCTAACCAATACGCCACAGGATTCCACTATAATCTCAATGATGGCAGGTCAGAAAAAGACTTACTAACAGTCTCATAGGTATAGGTATGTGAGCTCAGTTGAAACCTGGAAAAAATAGTCACTGCACGTGATACTATGGATTGTAAGTGCTTTGACATTCCAGGTGCAATAAGTAATTATTTCGTCGAGGTAAGAGCCAAGCGAGAGAACAAATTCTTTCTCATTGAGTCTGTCCGCAGAGAAATAGTAGAGAATCTTGGTGAGACTCCATCAAATTGCCCCAGGACTGCCTTTGTTAAATCCATTACTTATGAATTAATACCTTTGGGCTGCATTTTGGACATGGAGTACTGAATAGAGTTCTCACACTGCAACATAAGCGCTTAAAGGCAATGCAGAGGAGAGCAACAAGGAGGGTCCCTCGTGCAAGAGGAATGAACCACGAGCAACGATTAGACAACTTCATTTCCAAACTTGATTTAGCACAGGATGAGGTGTATATGAAGTAGAGTTACTTACCCTGCCCATCCAACTAATGTCACACATGCATAAGGGAACCACGAGAGCACAAACACGACAATCGCCACAAATGCAATTTTGGCCAATTTCCATTCAACCTTTACTGTTTGTTGATGGGCTTCATACGCTTTTCTTCTGCAGCCTCCCATCTTCTCAATATCCCTAAGAGCAAAATATTAGCTCAATTCGACAAGTCCAACTTCAAAAAACAAACTTCAAGAAAAATAATACAGAGAATAATGATGGAATAATGGCTAAATACAGCAATTGATTTGTTACATCTTAAGGCAGATAACTAGGCATTAGTTTGCTACACAGTTGTATACAGTGTACACATCAAATACTGTCCAAAAGAGATCTAAATCTGATTTATGGGAGAAAATCTCAATTTTCATGTGTTGTTTTAAGGCAGAACTGTCTTTATATCACCTTAATACACCATTCCTCCATCATTCATGCTTTGGACATCTCTAGCCTTGTTTTTTCTAATCCTCATTGGATTTCCTAGTTCCATAAGCTCCAAACTCTGCAGCCCATATCCTTTCCCACACCAGACTTCACATGCCTGTCACAACCATCATCGCTGTATTCCACCGGCTCCACATTATATCAGATAAAACAACTAGTCATTCATCTCATGGCGATTTGTGGGACATTGTTGTGCAAATTGGCTGCCTATAAATACACAGTCACTACGCTTTGGAGAAAAAACTGTGCGTCATGTATTGGAGAAAGAAATATATCAAAAGCAAGGAATGGTATTTATTTCCCAGTGGATTGACTTCAAAATCCTCATTCTGGTTTTCTAATGCCTTAATAATGCCTGGCATCTTTCACAGTGGTTGTTAGTTACATAACTGGGAACTTGCACTCATTGATTGTGAACCACAGAGTTGCGCCATCCTCTCGACTGACTAACTAACAACCAGGTTCCTACTTATTGCTCGGCAAACAAAGGTGTGTGGAGTGAGAAACCTTGCCTAAGGTTTTGCCCTGCCGGGAATCCAAACCCGGGCTCTCTCGCTTGCTATGGGACTCCACGTGATCCGGGTAGTTTGTTGTTCCCATCAGGGCTGTACTGCTAGGATTGATGTTGATATTAGTCTGGTCTGGTTTGAGAATGCGTACTTTGTGAATAAATCACCAAATGCAATAAATAGCTCCACTGGTTAGAATGTGCTATACCGTCATCTTCATCAAACATATAAAAAGGAGGAATTACACAACAGTGTAAAATAAACTCTGAATAATGTCTGAACCTTTAGCTTATCTCTGTCTCGATCACTCACTGGTGTGAGCAAACCAAAAGGTCAGTGTTCAATCACATTGGCCTTAACATTAACCATAATACTACGGTGTCTTCCATACCTGGTGGTGTGTTTTACAGCCCTGAACATACAGATGTAACAGTAGGAAATTACAATCAGTGGCACGAAGAACACAAAGCAGCAGAGCATCAAAGTGTAGCTCCTGTTAGATGGAGAATTTGTCACGTAATCCCAGGTGCAGGAAGTCATCAGACCTTCAGGATATAGGAACCTGTGCCAAATATACAATGGGAGTAAAATGTTTTAAAATAGGAGATGGTGGGATCGTACAAACATTCTACACTTGTGTAAAAATATTCATAGAAAATGTTATTACGCAAATTTCACACCGTCTGCAGCACTTGGACTTTGAAGGCTAATCCAGGGATTGTTTTTGTTTCAGGCGTCTTTCATTCAGTTGTGCAAGCGCTTTGATTATACTGTGCAGCTGAAGAAAAAACATTTTAAAGTGTACATTACTTCCTTCTGAGACTACAAAGCTGCTGAAAATACCATCCAAAGTTCAGCAAAAACAAACCAAGCTACAGTTTCTGTCATTCAGTTTGTTTTTCAACACATAATGACATGTAACAGACTTAAACAAAAACTGAATAGATACACTTACTCCAACCAAGGAGTGGAGGAAGACTCCATGCAAGCGAATATAGCCAAACCAGAATGATGACCTTCAGTGTATTCTTCTTTGTCGTCGTCGAGCTTATTGATTGTAATGGCTTTGTTATGACCCAATAGCGATCAATAGAGATTGCCATTAAAGTAATCATAGATGTAATGCCAAACAGTGCTCCGCAGAAGGCATATAGTTTACAACCTGCAGCAAAACATCAACATCAAATATGCCAGTTAAAATATGTTATTAATCTTGAAAACAATATGGGGCGGGGGAGAGGAATTTCCATTCTTTTGAAAAATTAGTCCATCAGGGGTTCATCAACCCAGTTATAGAGGGAGGGACACAGATCATTCTTATATAATCCAAATACAAATGAAGGTTACAGTCGCCTGATGTAACAGAGAAGTGCCTTGCTTTGGCCCACAATATCAGTGCTCAACTGATCGCCAGGTAACTTTGAAATACATTTACATTGATATAGAGTCTCCCCTTTGTGAGGTTGCATTGCTAGGTATGTGACCTTGGAACTAGGACGAGGAGACCCAGTATACTTCTCACCGAGAAAGACAACCATTCTGTGCACTTGATGTTCAGTCCCTGGTTTAAGAGTCTACTTCCTTCATTGTGATTAGTACATGTCTTGCTGCTCTCTGTGCTTTCCTTCTCATGCCACTGTAACTGGGCGAGTGTTACCTTCATTTGGGAGGGTTCATTCGGAACACCGACAACAACAACTTGCATATAAAAAGCGCCCTTCATGCAGGAGTCTTGGAGCGCTTAACACTGGCGGAGCCTAACGCCGAGCCGTTGATAGGGAGGAGGTGACCATCAGCACGAGGAAGGTCTTCGGTCGTGATCCAAAAGAGGGGAAGTAGGGGGGCAAGGCGTAGGGATTGAAGGAGGGAGTCCTACAGCTTCAGAGGGGCAAGGGGCGACGCTACTGACACGTAGTCTCGCCCTTTCTCCCTACCATTGGGTATCTTGGCAATGGGTATTTTAATCTGCCGCAGTGCAGAATAACGTGTCTTCACATGAAGCTTCAGGCTGCCTGGCAAAGGTTTTGAATTGTGAAAGAAGTGCTGGGTATGTACTTAAATGTTCAAAAAATAAAAACTTGTTGATTCAGGTTTGCAACCAGTTTAGTGGAAACTTGTGTCAACTTCTGCTGCAGATTGCTTAATCTGCCGCTGTGCAAAATAACGTGTATTCACATGAAGCTTCAGGATACCTGGCAAAGGTTTTGAAATGTGAAAGAAGTGATGGCCTTAGTAGATTATGAAGATTATGGTCAGAGGTATGACATTTCCCTTTGTTCACATGCCCGGGTCCTTGTGATCTTGGAGGAGGGGAGGTGAAGTCAGATGAAGACTAAATAACAACAACAAGATTTCATTTATAGAGCGCCTTTCACGTCGGGAGGACGTCCCAAGGCGTTGGACAGTTGGGTCGGGACCCGAGCATTGGGGGGAAATGGTCAGGGGGAGGGAAGGGAGGGAGCGAGGAGGGGGTAGAGAGTCGAGAGGGGAGCTGAAGGTACAGTCGATGAGAAAGGTCTTGAGACCGGCCTTGAAGGAGGAAAGGGAGGAAGCGGCGAAGGCACTGGGGGATGGAGTTCCAGAGCCTCGGGGCTGAGAGGCTGAAGGCCCGGCCACCGATGGTAGGGCGGTTAGGACGGGGGATGTGGAGCAGACCGGAGCCAGAGGAACGGAGGGTACGGGCAGGTAAGTAGGGGGAGCTCAGCACTGGGTGCTTTCTCCAGGAGCCAGAGTCTACCAGCTGCAAAATCATCAGTTTCAAGATCCTCCCTCTTGTATTTAAATCCCTTCACGCCCTGCCACCTCTCCGACCTTCTCTCTCTCCTTACACCCACTGCCCGCTGCCTCCGCTCGACTGGCTCCGGCCTCCTCCTTATCCCTGGGACACTCTGCCCCACCATCGGCTGCCGTGCTTTCAGCCACTGCTCCCCAGAGCTGTGGAATTCTCTCCCTCGATCCCTTCACCTCGGCCCCCACTCTCTCCCCATTTTCAAGTCGCGCTTGAAGACCTTCCCCTTTGACCGTGTCTACGATCACCTTCCCCCTCCGCCTCCCCCTGGCTCTGCATTGGGCTCGGCCACTATTAAGTGCTGCAAGAAGCCTTTTGCAGGTTGTTGTTCTCTAAACACTAGGTTACGAAACTTCTCTTGGTAGATATTCAGCCACCCGGAACAGATTATTAAAGGAAAGATAAAAACAACACACGCTGGAACTTGATCGCCCCGTGCGCCTACAAATATACAGTCACTACACGCTACAGAAAATATCTGAAGCATTTCGAGATGTTTCGATGTGACAAGGCACTATATCAAATTTAAGGATTGTTTTGTTGCCTTAAGTACACCAGAAACAACACTGGGATCGCCACACCACACGCACACGTTCATTTTAAGTCTTATATACTTCCATACGATCCTTTCTGAGGGTCAACTTTTTTTTCACACTGAAGAGCCCGAGCTTGCTTCATTGTTGCTCGGATCATTTCTGTATCATCCTCATTGCTCTCCACTGCGCTTGCACAATTTCTTATTTCCATTTAAATTAAACAAAGCCAATCTCATCAGCGGGCGGTAAAATGCATTCGAGAACTAAGACCCAATGATTAAGCTGTCAAAACGTCTGCCAGGAATAGACATGGCAGAGTAATGAGGAGCAGGCTCACCGATATTGCCAAATATCCAGCGCTTGTTTAAACTGCTGACGAAGAAGACGGGAGACTGGGAGGCGGACATCAGGAAGTCGCTGACTGCCAGGTTGGTTATGAAGAAGTTTGGTGCCGTCCTCAGTTTCTTGTCGCTGCGGGCAATTTCAAGTGAAAGAAACAAAACATTTTATTTGAAAACCACCCCCCCCCCCACAGGATTTGATGTCTTAATTGTCATATCGACGACGTCCGTGTTGCTGCAGTGCGGTTCTATGCACAGAACCCACCGCGCTCTGGAACATCTTTCCGACCTGAAAGGCGCTATACAAGTGCCATTTGTTGTTGTTGTTGTTGTTGTTGCAGCCCAGTGTCATCCACCATGCAGAAACGACATGAACACCCCCTCCTGTGGTGGGGCTGTATACCAGCTTCTCTAAATTCCTTTCCAAATCACTCACCGTCCTGACTCGGACCCACATCCCCTCTTCGTTCACTGCCGCTGAGTTCGAAATCCTGGAGCTCCCCACTCAACAGCACTGTACGTGCTCCATCACTCGCACAAACCACCGTGGTTTAAAGAGAAGGCCCGACCAGCGCTTTCCTGGGCAACCAGGATTATTTTGATGGATAAAGCAAAATGCCTGCGCCATCCACATCCCGAAACGGAGGGTAAAACCAAAATCAAACCTGTTATGGCATCTCACACCCCAGCGTGATAAAACAATCATAAAGAGCAGCAAAGAGTAATTGTTAGAATAACATTTCAAAAGTTCTGTCACACCGACTTGTTATCAAGCTTTTCTTTTTTGGTCAAATGCATAGTCATCGTTTTGCTCAGTAATATGTTTGAGTCATCGTCATCATCATAATAATAATAATACTGAATCTTAGCTTTATTAGATTATGGTGGGGGGAGGGAGGGGTGTATACAGCATCGGACGAGCAGCAGGAAATCTTACCAGACAGCGATATCAATGGTGAGCTGTGTGGTATTAGCTGGTTAGACTCCAGCATTTACCCCAACGCACACTCTGAGATTCCCCCCCCCCACACCCTTGGCTTTTGCCAACCTGCGGCTTATAGTTTCTGGAGTTAAGTGAGCAGGATGTTTACTTCCAGCGAGAGAGCGCGCATTCCATTCCAATAACCATCGCTGGGATTTCCATATCGAGGTGGGATACAGGGAAAGGCCATTGAAGAGTCTCTCCCTGGGAAAAGTGGCAGCGAGGAAGCTGCAAGGAACAGTACTCGGTGCCTATCCTGTAGCTCAGTGGAGTCCTGTAGCTCAGTGGTTAGAGCACTCGCTTTGCAAGCGAGAGACCTGAGTTCAATTCCAGGCAGAGGGCGAAACCTTGGGCAAGTTTCCTTACTCCACACAGAGCCTAATAATAATCCCTCCAAAACCAAAAACAATAATAAATTGGTCATTTTCAATCCACGACTGTTTGTGGGACATTGCTGTGCGCAATTGGCTGCCGCGTTCGCCCACAAATATACAGTCAATTCACTTTACAGTGTGTTCTGTGAAGCGCTTTGGGACGTCCTCCCGACGTGAAAAGCGCTATATCAAATGCAAGGATTATTATTATTATTATTATCCTCGGTCTCCTGTGACGGCTGACGGAGGCTCCTGATCATCTTTCCTGAGTGAACCACAAAACTCTGCCCTCAATTCCTCTCTCTCTCCGTTCTCTCTCTGTTCTCTCTCTCTCTCTCTATTTTGCACTCCACCCTCACGCTCTCACAATTACTTCCTCTCTCCCCCTCTCTGTCAATCATTCACATTCTCTCACACTCTTTCTGGCATATAGCACAACATTTGCATATAGAGTACCTAACATTTCCATGGCTTTCATTTCACCTTTTGTTCCTTGGTACCTGCCATGATACATGTGTCCTTTGTTTTCCAATCTCAAGGAAATTTTGGTGCTTTCTCACTTTGAATACACACGGTTTCAGGTTTGTGCAATCTTATCAGATTTAGGTCAGGAGTTCCTTTGTTGGCTTGATAAAAGTACCTACTCATTATGTGCTCAAATGTTTGAACGTTACTTCGCGTTTACCGGTGTTCCTCTCTTTCGCGAATCGGGAAAGCTACAAAGGTTCACAGATCATCGCGTCTTATTTCTGTCAAAATATCTGTCATTTTCGTGCCTTGTCACAAGGTTTTGCCGCGAAGCAGGTAAATTTATCATTATTCCTGTTAAGGTTCAGATTCATAAATGCTGTGAGCGCAGTAATCTATTTCAATATTTCTGAATTATAGGAAGTAGCTGTCTTCCTCCTCAAATGTTTTCACTATTTAGCAATAGGAACGACTGATAGTTACTGATCTCTATTTAGCCACTATCTTTTGTGAATAATTATTAGCGATAGAGGATTGTTTTTATTTCCTCGTGCAGCTTTCCAACGATAACATCTTACTTGAGCTTAAATTGTACTTTACTTAAAATTGTACGACGACGAGCTGACAAGATATCAGACCTTTTAAAAATAGTTAACTATTTTCCTGCATGAGTACTGTACATAATGATACTGCAGTATTGCATTTGCTATCGTGCTTTATCAGGTTGAAAAGCATTTGATAGAGTTTACTGTAGTGACTGGGGAATTGTTGGTGAAGGTGGTAACCAACAGCCATGAAGTGAGTAACCAGTTTTATTGGGGAGATTGTTGGTCAGGCAATTGGGAGAAACTTGCCTTTTCGAACAGACAGACAGGACCTTGATTTAATCATCCCAGACTGTCAGCTCAAAGTTTTGCATGGGCTTGAAGCCACAATCTTTAGGGGCGAGAGAACGATCAACTGAACTCGGCTGACACCTACATACACAATATGCCAAGATTAGTTACAAGATACTTGGAGGAACAGTTCTGAAAGCAGGAAGGGGAAAAACAATGACAATTAGCACCACACTATGCTTTCCTCCCACAACCTGGGTTTGAACCCATTTGATAAACTTTTACAATCTTCTATGTGGTTACGCTGACACCCGAGAACACCACATTATCACCATTTTGCAAGTCATGAGTGAGGAGACACCTTTGATAATGTGCAACTTGACCCAATTGTACGAAGCAAATGCTGAAAATTTGTGTGGGCTGAACATTCAGAGATTAAATCTAGTTTGCATACCTTTCTTTTCATGTCATATCTACAAGTTAATATGCAATTTAAAACCCAATAACTCGTACCATTGGCAGGTAATGCTCAAGTGTCGAATCTTTCAAAAACAAATTAGGCAGATTTCTATTAGGAAATAGTAATAATAATAATCCTTGCATTTGATGTAGCGCTTCACAGAATATACTGTAAAGGGAATTGACTGTACATTTTGTGAGTTAAGCGCAGCAGTGTTCCACAAACAGTCGTGGATTGAGTGACCAAAATATTATTATCATTTTATTGTGAAGGGATTATTACCCCTGAAAAAGCGATCCGTCGATCGACTAACAATCGGGTTCTCACTTACTGCTATGTAAACAGAGGCGTGTGGAGTAAGGAAACTTGCCCAATGTTTCAACCAGCAGGGAACCGAACCTAGGTTTCTCGCTTGCGAGGCGACTGATTTACAGGATTCTACATACTAATAAAATAATATCTTGGGATACAGTATATAATTTGGGACATGACATGCGCATGCAGCTGCCAGGAGGGTGAAAGGCCAACTGAATGGACTTTGGTCGGCTTTCGTCCAGAAATTCTTATGTTCAATAGGGAAGAGCTTACACTATTGGACAAGGGTAATTCAGGGAATATAATTTACTTGGATTTTCTGAGAAAGGCATCAAAGGATATGGNAAAAAAAACTGGGAAATCGAATGCAAAGATTTGGAATTTAATTTGTCAAGTTTGTATACGACAAACAGTAGGTTCTGGACTACATTGTGAGACGTTGCTTCAGACCCTTTATTGTTCATGTATCATACAACCAGATTCAACCATATGGAAACACTGGGGTGAAATGTTGGTGTTTCCTAACTCATCAAAGACAATGCTGTGGTTCACGTGCAATGGAATGTGATCCAATTTATTTCCAATTCCGATTCGGCATTTGCAACAAAACTGAACCTGTGTCAATCATTCCTTCTCCCCTCTGTTGGTCTGTTGGTCACTCTGCAGTAAGGTTTCAACCTGAACCCAGTGTTTACTGATCTTTGTGAAACCGGCTGTTGCTGGGGTTGGACTGGCTGGTGTTTGACATCTGGGCCTGTCCTCCTTTCTTTGCTACAATTCACTCAAAAGACACCACAAGTGGCAGAGAGGCAAAACCTTCTGGTGCCTTGCAAGTAAAAACAAAATTCCCATCTCACCCCTGTCACTGTGAAGTTCTTTAAGACGTTTCAATGACATGATAAAGCACTATATCAAATGCAAGAATTATTATTATTATTATTATCTGATCCACTTATTATCACGCCATGAAGTATGGTAAATTTCCCCCTAGACTGTCCCTCACTATCAAACTGAGTTTCCTGTTGTGTCTCTTACTTTTACCACTATCAGTACTGAATCCAAAAGTCAGCTTTTCTATAGCTTGGATCAAACCAGTCCTTCCACTGTCTTGTGAAACTCTAGACATTTGCTTTGAGCGATGCAAGACATTTCCGATAAATGCACCAAAATGTTTAAACTGAAGGATGTTAAAGGTGATTTTTCGTAAATTTGGGTAAGAAGCCAAGCACTTTGGAAATAATGTGTTACCTGTAAACTGCATAAAGTACCAGGAGATTCCCCAAGACTCCAATGGTGCCAATCACAATAATGCAGCTGCCAAAGATATAGTGAATACAGTCAGGAACATTGACCGTGTCAAAGGTCCGGTGGTGGGAATCCATGGTTGGAGCCTGCAACAAAATAAACATGTTTTGACATTAGCCCAATGTTCAAGGGATGATTTAGAATGATTGAGCGCCTTATGAAATACTTTGGCATTAAATGAAAGTCATGGGCTTGGGTCTTAGTTCCATTCTGTCCTTTCTTTATTTGCCTAAAATCCAACAGTGCACTGCATCAAAATCCCTTATCTATGTTACAGCTTTCTTTATATCCTCTTTTGAAGTCCTGTAACTTAGTGGTTAGAGCGCTCGCTTTGCAAGCGAGAGACCTGAGTTCAATTCCAGGCAGAGGGCGAAACCTTGGGCAAGTTTCCTTACTCCACACAGAGCCTAATAATAATCCCTCCAAAAACAATAATAAATTAGTCATTTTCTACGACTGTTGTGGGACATTGCTGTGCACAATTGGCTGCCGCGTTCGCCCACAAATAATCACAGTCAATTCACTTTACAGTGTGTTCTGTGAAGCGCTTTGGGACGTCCTCCCGACGTGAAAAGCGCTATATCAAATGCAAGGATTATTAAGGATTATTACTATTATTATAAGGGATTTGGGATCTTTTATTTCCTTCATTTAAGATAAGTACAGGGCATTTATGTTGGTTTTGCTTTGAATAAGATGAATGAATGTTTCATACGCTGAAGTAAACTACGTTATCTGTACTATTAAGGAGGAAGTGCTGGAATGATCTGGTGACCATTGGCGTTACTGTGGCTCATTTGGTCTTACTATTGCCTTCATGTCATAAAAAAATACTTCCTGTTGTCTGTCCTGAAACTGCCCTTTACAGCCCTAAATACAACTCCAGTTGGATCGATATTTTGGGGATTTTCATTTCAGCAAATGTACGTTGCCAGCTCAAGACTCTTAAAGGGATTAAGTGAACATTCACATACATGGCTGCTTTGATCCTGGAGAGCAGGTGGCCATATTAACTGCGTAACTACATTATAATTACATTATCAGTGCTATGTGGTAACAACATGCTAAACAATATACACCGCTCTCATACAGACAAATTCCTTTAACAAGGGCAAAGATGATTTCTGGAAGGCAACACGAGGAAAGATAGAATTTCATGCCAAAATCAGTCAACTCGTTCTCAAACAAGATGCAGTCAGTGGTTGAATCTTAGAACAGGATATTGAAGGAGCCACTATCTAAATGAAAGCGCTCTGGGACACTAAACTGCGCTGTATAAATAATAATAATAATCCTTGTATTTGATATAGCGCTTTTCACGTCTTCGAGATGTCTCAAAGCGCTTTACGGAATAGACTGTAAAGTGAATTGACCGTATATTTGTGGGCGAAATGCAAGTTGTTATTGTTGAAAACAAAGTTTTGTAAAATTATTGTTTGTTTGGGAAGGGTTGAGAGAAAAACAGAACCTTGTGCCATTCCCACGGAGCTGAAGCGATTTAAGTTGCTATCTATGTTGAGTAAAAGGATCTTTCATGAAAACAATAGTCCTTTAACCAAAATGAACCCTCCCTTCTACACTAGGGTGCATTTAAACTATATTTTACCCCTGATAATATTTTCCTTTCATCTCCATCCATGCCATGTAACCCCAGTGCAGTAAATTTTCCTTCCATTGATTTCTTTGTGTGCACGAACAATGTAAAAGCTTTTTCTTGTAATAGATTCGAGATAAGCATTGACAGCCATCACACGGGAAAGCACCTTTCCAGTGTCAAACCCACACTTTTCATACGTTTTTCCACAAGTCCCTCGGTGTTGTTTTCCGCAGATTTTACAAATTCAAGTTGCCTACCTGAAACGTGGCCAAAATCCCTTCTCTTTTCATGTTGCAAACTTCTTTCCAACTTGTATCCAGTTAATAGATATCCTGTAATCTGCGTGTAAGAAACAATGTTCTCTGCATCAAGGGATGGTGAAGCGTTCACCACACAAAATACCCCGGTGAGAATGTGAAGCCAATTTGACGCTGGATTACTGCAATTATTGACTTTGTGTATTAAATCATATGCCTGATTGGTCATCTCATCTGGGCTAAGTGTGTTGGGCATCCCGCTGAGCTGGGAAAATCAAATTGCATTTCATTACCGTGTCACAATCAATTAATGTATCTGCGGCAACTGATCTGTGTTTCTATGGGCTCCTCAATAACCCCACACTTCAGCCACTACTCCTTTACATTTGTGAGCAACTACCTGCACAAGTACCAGCTGCTTACCTGGCAGGTAGATTAGACTGCAGGGACTTGCGATCTGATTCAAAGACGTACGTCTATATTGTGGAAAATAGGAAATCCTAAGCTATATGTATTCTGATTTTAATTTGCCACACTGTCGGGTGTTCCCAATATTCAACTCATGAACCATTGAAATCCTCTAAGAATATTACCATTTGAACTCCTATGTAATTCCAAAATCCGGTTCCTGATATACACCTCACGTCAAACTGTATGGCAGTAGCGAATAACGAGATGGATTTTGTTTGCATTTCTTTCTATGCAAAGCCTGTGGTTACCCCATGCAAAAGTAAATGCAAAAGTTGAATATCTACCACACTCAGTACACAATCTCTAAATACAGGTCAGTACTCGTGTGGAAACATTCTGAAGTTTATGGGATCAACTTCAGTTGCTGGTACTTTTGGTGTCGGGCCAGCTCAGCCGGTAGCGTTCTCTTTTTTGGAAAACGATACCGAAAATATATGTGCCTTGTACGTGGTTTAGACTTTATGGTTACAAAATCCAAGCTACAGGGCTTAACGTATCTGGTCAGTCATTTTACTGATAGGAATCAGTGGCAGTAGTGGTGAGGATTCTATTTGCTAGTCATGGAAGTAAACACAAGTTCGGGTGTAAATGTTACTGAAACAGGTCATTCATTTTGCTGTGATTTCCTCCTGCGATTCCTTTGGTACGTCACTTGAATTGGGTTCAAAGTTAGCAAACGTGGAAATGGACATCACACCTAGTTTTATTTTCAGATTTCTGAACAGTCAGCCGAATTAGCTTTTCTGGGTTTTTTTTAAAAATCTTTGCTGTCTATTCTTGCAACTGTAGGCAATTCAACCAACTACTGAAGGTAGCTGGATTGCAACTCATTCCTGTGTTGTGTAGAAGGTGCAAACTTTAGTAAAAGCGTTCGTTTGACTAAGGCAATGGTCTCAAACTTATTAGTTTGTTGCCCACTTAAAAATTCTTTTGACTTGTGCTCTCCTGGCTTTGCAAATGTGGGTCAGTAAGCCTCCGAGGGAATGCAGTGAACTTCATTATCAATAAAACAAATCGAAGGCCAAATGCACACACAAAGGAGCAGTACAATCCTTTATCGCATGCAAATGAAAAGCAAAACGATGAATGCTGGATATCTGGACTAAGAAGAGAACACGCTGGAATTGCACATCAGTGTTGTTCAGCCGGCTGTGACATGCTTAGCTTATCCAAGCCTGACTGACAATTCCGCGTGCGCAAACCACCAATACAAAGAAATTGGAAGACGTACCCTCTCCCGGCAGAATGCCAACCTCATCCTGGGAAGTATTAGACGTATGTTGGCACGAATAGAGGCTAAACAGAGCTAAAGCCACAGAGCTAAAACCACGGAGCTAAAGCCACAGAGCTAAAACCACGGAACTAAAGCCACAGAGCTAAAACCGCTTTATTTTTTGTTTTGAAAATATCTATCTATCTATCTATCTATCTATCTATCTATCTATCTATCTATCTATCTATCTATCTATCTATCTATCTATCTATCTATCTATCTCTCTCTCTCTCTCTCTCTCTCTCTCTCTCTCTCTCTCTCTCTCTATCTATCTATCTATCGATCTATCGATCTATAAATGTAATACTTGGATAACAACAGAAGTCCAAACAAACACAAAGTACGACATCTTCCGTTACAATTTTTCCCCTTTCTCCCGATAGAAAAAAACCCATTCTGTTTGCTTACGGTACATTCCTTCACCGCACACAGGTTGTGCGCACGTTTTTTTTTTTTGGACGCTCCCTTTAAAGCAGCCGGGAGAGTCACCCCCCTCCGTGTCCGCCACATCCCGAGGGCAACGTGCCGACTGGCCCAGACCTCGACCGGGCACGAAAGCCCTGAGAGGGACTGGAAGCTCCTTTCGTCGCCAGCCAGGCCGTGTCCTGATGGCTGTTGGTCAGGGTTGGTTGACGTAGCTGGCTGTCGCTGCAGGGTACCCCCTGACACCGGATAGGTGGTGCTGCACGCTCCAACTGTGTGGAACGTTTCGGGGCAGTTCTGCCAGACCCACCCTTCTTAGCACCGGGTACAGGTAGAAACCCAGCTCGTACCGGGGCTCCAGGCACAGCCTCAGGCGGCTACACACAAAGGTGGGCATGAGGATCAGGGCTATGTTAGGGACCCCTTTTCACCCCCCCCCCCCCCACCACCCCCCACCTTTCCGGGGTTTTGTGCATCGTGTCCCTGTGCGGACACGATCCATCTTGGACCCCCAGATCAGGTGGAAGACCTCTCCGGTGACTGCAGTGGCTTTGTTCCTGGGCAAAGGCCAGACCCGGGCCACGTACAGTAACACCGAGACGGCCTCACACTTTATCACCTGGTGCCACATCACCAGTTTCTTCCTCACTTTGCCTGGATGCCCCTCCCAGCATTTTTGGCACCCCCCCCCTCCCCACCCCACCCCGGCAGCCCCGAACCAGATGCCGAGGACTTTGATGTAGTTCTGGCTTCACCGCAAATGGTACGTGACTGTGTCCTCTCCGGTCTCCAAAATACACCCCTGAGACTTGCTCAAACCGGTCAAAAATGCCCAGCAGGCTCGAGAGCGATTTCTGGTCTGTGCAAAAGATGGTGACATCTTTCATATACAGGGAAGGCCTTGGCTTGTGTGCCGTGGCTGCCCGAGATGGCGACATCTCTGATGTTCTCTGAGGGCCTTGTGCAAAGGGTTCAATGGAGCAGACAAACAGGGTGAGAGACTAAGACAGTCCTTACATCCTTACTCTCGACCTGATGGGGAATGGCTCAGTCTCGTACCCGTTGACTGTAACTGCGCTACAGATGTCTGTGTAGAGCAGTCGGATCCACTTGGGTGTTCCCTCCCCCGAAGCCCATTTTGGAGAGTGCGTCATCCAGGTAGCTGTGAGTTACCCTGTCAAAGGCTTTCTCTTGATCAAGGCTTATCTGGCAGGCCTTCAACCCCCTGTCCTGTACGGAGGAGATGGTATCCATGAGCAGCGCAAGGCTATCCGAGATCCTTCCCCGGAACTGTGCGGGTCTGGTCTGGGAGCATTACCCGCCCAGAGATCACCTTTGCCAGGATCTTATAGTCCACATTCAGGAGCGAGATCAGTCGCCAATTCTTTATCTCCTCCTTCTCCCCCTCTTGTTTGAACAGTGGGGAGAAGCTGCCTTTCCTCATAGACTCTGCCATGGTCCCTGTTGTTGTTGTCGGCCTTCAGCAGGTCTGGGCCCATCACGTCCCACGGAGCCGAGCAGAGCTCCACCAGGAGGCCATCACCTCCGGGGTCTTACCGGTCTGGAGGGCTTTGACAGCCCTGGTCGGCTCGTCAAGGAAGAGAGAGGGCTGTCGAAGTGCTCCCGGCTCTCCTCATCCAGCACCTGGATCCCGGGAAGCCGTGCTATCCTTGGGTTTTTCACAGTACAGGATAAAACAACAACAACAACAGGATTACATGTGTAAAGCGCCTTTCATGTCGGGAGGAGGTCCCAAGGCACTGGACAGTGTACAGCATTTCAGACCCGAGCTGGGGTCAGGGGGGAGAAGGGAGGGGAAGGTGGGTGGCCGATGGCATGGTCGAAGAGTAGGGTCTTGACGCGGGACTTGAAGGAAGCTAAGGAGGGGGTGAGGCGGAGTGACTGGGGGATGGAATTCCAGAGGTTGTGGGCAGAGTGGCTGAAGCCTCTCCCAGCAATGGTGGGGCGGGTGGGTCGGGGGACGTGGAGCAGGCCAGAGCCGGCTGAGCGGAGGGAGCGGGCGGGTTGGTAGGCTCTGGTGTTCCTCTGCACACCGGCCTGCTCTGCGTGCACCAAACACGTTTCGTCCCTCAGCCCAGCGATAACACAGCCGGGTCTGTTTGCTTTCTGAAAGAAGAAACGTGAGCAGATCTCGGCCTGTTCTATCGTGCGCACCCTGGATCGGAAGATGACCCTGGAGGCCTCGGCGGCAAAGTGCGCAGTTCGCTGACCCTTCGTCTCCTCGAGTTCCTTTCTGACATCGTTTCCATCAGCCTGCCGTCGCTGGAGGTTCTGCAGTTTGGTCTGTAGCCGGAACGTGACCTTCTTTCTGTTCTTGGCTACACTCACCCTCTTGCAGATGAAGAGCTAAAACCACTGTGCTGAGAGCACTACCTGGCAAGTTCCCACTGTTTGTCCAGCTGGGGCCATTGCAGCCGTGTCATGCTGAGTTAACAGGAACCAAGAGGGGAAGAATCTCTCTCCCTAAGTAACTGGTCTGCCCCGCAAACTCCCGCTAATGTGCCAAGCTGGGTGGTCTGTGCAAATTGTTGGCCAGGACACCAGGAGAAACTCCCTTCTCTTTTCGAATAGTACCATTGTGGAGTCCTGTAGCTCAGTGGTTAGAGCACTCGCTTTGCAAGCGAGAGACCTGAGTTCAATTCCAGGCAGACGGCGAAACCTTGGGCAAGTTTCCTTACTCCACACAGAGCCTAATAATAATCCCTCCAAAAAACCTAAAACAATAATAAATTGGTCATTTTCAATCTACGACTGTTTGTGGGACATTGCTGTGCGCAATTGGCTGCCGCGTTCGCCCACAAATATACAGTCAATTCACTTTACAGTATATTCTGTGAAGCGCTTTGGGACGTCCTCCCGACGTGAAAAGCGCTATATCAAATGCAAGGATTATTATTATTATTATTATTATTATTATTGGATCTTTGACTTCAACCTGAACTGGCAGATGGGACCTTGATTTAATATCTCATCCAAAACACAGCATCCGCCCAACAGCACTGCATTGGAATGTCAGCCTTGACTACGTGAGTGGGGGTTAAGCACACAACCTTCTGACTTAAGAGGTGGGCAATTTTCCAGTTTTTACAGTGCTCTGTATTAGAAACAAGTCCTGAAAAAAAACAATAAGTACCAGATGTCAAGTGACTCACTATGAACCTCCAGCACAATCTATTTTCTTAACCGCCTTTTTCAGCATTTCACAATCTGTTGACAACCCATTAGTTGTCCCTGTGCCGGCTGATCACGGCTCCAAATATCTAAATTCTCTAGATCTGTCATTTCGCCCACTAAACGCACTGATTTCCTGCAACCTTGAATTGGAAACCGAAGCAATAGATTCCGTAAGAATGAGTTTCAAATGCAAACGTGTCTCCTGAAGAGCAAAAATAATTCCTGGGGTTTTGGTCATTCGCATTTCGAAAAGTGTTTTGAATGTTTATCATTGATCTACGTCTGCTCGGCGGGTTTTCTGTCTGGACTGCCCAGAACAATCTACCTGCGTTACCCTTTCTATGTGGCTTCACTCCAATGATTTTCACGGATGAAAGCAACGGTAACAGATCCTAAAAGCACTAGGACCTAGGAGCAGTCTGTTGCGCTCAGCAGAGTTTTGTGGGGAGCATTACATTCCTAGTCATGCTAAGTTCCTGACAATACTGCTCGTTTGGTCTCCGTGGACAAATCTTTAACCTTTTTTTTTTTTGCAAAGCAGAGAACTTACAGGATCAAGCTCCGAGAGAATTCAAAAGGTTTGAATTGTTTTTTTTTCTTTAAATGAAAAGTTGCAGTGTTTTAGGTGTCGGGAACCAAGAAAATGATGTAAATCAACGATAAAGAATGAAATGACACAGATATAGAGAGACACACACTCACAGACAGAGAGAGATACACACACACACACGCACGCACACCCACAGAACAAAAGTAAAACAGATTAGATATATTTCAAATATGTACTTATTGTATTATTACAATGCCTTCAGCTCCCCTCTCGACTCTCTTCCTCCTCCTCGCTCCCTCCCTTCCCTCCCCTCACCCTGACCATTTCCCCCCTCCTCTCTCCCTCCCTTCCCTCCCCTCACCCTGACCATTTCCCCCCTGCTCGGGTCATGACCCAACTGTGCAGCGCCTTGGGACGTCCTCCTGACGTGAAAGGCGCTCTATAAATGGAATCTTGTTGTTGTTGTTGTTGTTATTATTATTTGTGGAGTCCTGTAGCTCAGTGGTTAGAGCACTCGCTTTGCGAGCGAGAGACCTGAGTTCAATTCCAGGCAGAGGGCGAAACCTTGGGCAAGTTTCCTTACTCCACACAGAGCCTAATAATAATCCTCCAAAACCAAAAACAATAATAAATTGGTCATTTTCAATCTACGACTGTTTGTGGGACATTGCTGTGGGCAATTGGCTGCCGCGTTCGCCCACAAATATACAGTCAATTCACTTTACAGTGTGTTCTGTGAAGCGCTTTGGGACGTCCTCCCGACGTGAAAAGCGCTATATCAAATGCAAGGATTATTATTATTATTATAACTGTAATAAAAAGCTAAAAAAATGTATTAGATATGGAAAAATAGCAGGCGGGAATCAGGATTACAATAGATCCTCAGAGTACATCAGAGATGAGTGGCATAATTGGCCCCGTTCTGTGCTGTAAACGTTCCATAATTTTATAACTGGGTTTGTGTTTTATCCTCATATGGAACTTCTTCCAGATGTTTGATTGATTAACTACGTGTTATCCTTCGCTTCTGGTTAGATTATCCAGAGCGCAGCAGTGGTTCAAGACCTCCTGAATTTCAACATCACACCGAAGATTAAAAACTAAAAGGTAGAAACCCAATTTGTTATTTTTATCTTCGCTGAAAGATAACGTGAACTTATCTGCAATATTTCTTGTCAATTTTAAGTAAGAAAAGTAAGAAATGTGTGGCTATTGAACTTCTATAATAATAATAATCCTTGCATTTGATATAGCACTTTTCATGTCTTCGAGACATCTCAAAGCGCTTCACAGAATAGACTGTAAAGTGAATCGACTGTATACTTTGCGGGCGAATCGTGGCAGCCAATTGCGCAGAGCAGCGTCCCCACAAACAGTCGTGGGTTGAAGTGACCAATTTTTCATTGTTGTTTTTTTTGAAGGATTATTATCAGGCGTTATAACATGCTTTCGAACGTGCTATGAAATGATTGAACGGCTTTTCTCCCTGTGTCCTTGCCACCTGGAACCTTCGTTTTGTTTTCGGTCAAACTTCTGCAACCCGAATGATTGAACTGACGGTGAAGGATGTGTTGTGCTGTGTCTCACACCTTGCTTTCTGTGTCGGGCAGGTTCAAGTATGCCACACTACAGGTTAACCTATTTCCAGTTGCGAGGAAGGGCCGAAACCGCTCGCTATATTTTTGCTTATCATGGGATAAAGTATGAAGACAATAGGATAGAATGGTCGGATTGGCCCAACATAAAGCCAAGTAAGTAGCGCAGAGTGAAAAGGGCAACCACAACAACTTGCGTTTATGTACCCGCCCCTCAAGGAGGGTAGCGTCCCAGAGCACTCAACGCCGAGCCGGGGGGGGGGGTGGGGAGATGACCGTAAGCACAGGCGAACAGGAAGGTCTTCAGGCGCGAAGGACAGATAATTAAGGCGCATGAAACCTGACATCACCCAAGGTTGAAAGAATAGCAGAGTTACGAGAGAAATCAAAGTGGCTGCATAAACAACCCCACCCCCCACCCCCCACCACCAACAACAACCCCCCACGATTAGCTTAACGCCCCACACATAGCTTTCAAAGCCTGGGGAGACAAGTACCTTTAGGTCCTGGGAAACAATGAGTTAAAGTGGCAGCATGATATCTGCCAAAGTCGGAAGTGTAGCATAAACTCAGTGGTGAGCTCCGCTTGAATTGAATCAGTCAACAGATCTCGTTCTGCAGCAGCCAATTCCAAACAATTTTTAAGTACAAAAACAATTCTGTTCAAAAGTTCTTGGTTGGTCACAGGACCACCTTAGGCTGGTTAATACTGGCCGGTATTCCAGTCACACTGACAGCTCTTCAGCCGCATTGAAAAAAATAACCGGCTTTGTCTCCGGTTGGCAGGGTATGGACTGGCCGAGCTCTGGGCTGGTAGCTTGCAGTAACTTGCAATTGGAAAGGATTTGAAGAGAGAGAGAAAACATTCAGTCTGACATGTGTGACAAATCCACATCATTGTTAAACAATTCTCTCTCTATTCAGATATGGAGAATTGATGATCTCCATTGGGTGAGATCTTACCTCATGTAACAATGGCTTATGAAGAGATTGAATTGAACTGACAGACTAATTTGGCCTTTTTGATTTGTGTTCCAGCTTTGACTTTCAGGCAAGTTCCGATCCTGGAGGTGGATGGAGTAGTTATCAACCAGAGCGCAGCTATTGCGAGATACCTAGCGAGAGAAACAGGTAAAATACATCAAACAATTTGTTATTTGTTGGGTCCTCAACTTGCCCAAAAGCCAAAATTGTATCATGGTCTCAGCCTTAAACCGATGTCTCAAAATTTAAGACTGTGCAAGATTTTGCATAATACTTAATTAAGGCAACGCTGGAAGAAGGATAGGCACAGGCACAATACGCTGAATGACCCCCATTGGTGCGGAAACGTTCTACGGTTCCAATATTAACTACTTTGGCAAGGAGTTACTGGAAGGACTCGTGGAACTACGACAATACAATGCAAAGTGGGAGGTAGAACACGATGCATGAAAGAACAGTGGTTGGTATGTAGAACAGAGTATGTTCCAAATGGGGCAACACTAGGAGGAGAAGATAAGCAGAGAGATCTGGGGGATGGAATGCAAGTTCATAGATCATTAAACAACAACAACAAGATTACACTTGTATAGCGCCATTCATGTCGCGAGGACGTCCCAAGGCGCTGGACAGTGTGCAGCATTTCAGACCTGAGCTGGGGGTCAGGGGTGGAGAAGGGAGGGGAGGGGAAGTGGGGTGGCATTCAAATCTAGTTTACAGATGAAGTGAAATCAGTAAGTCAATTGGGAAGCGAGCATTCATTGTAAGAGGACTGGAATTTAGAGTGGGCTTGTCAGTACTTCATTTGGAGTAACGTGTTGAGTTTTAGACTCCTAATCTTAGGAAGGATACACTGGGCTTGGAAGGTATCCAAAGATGGTTCACTGAACCCTTATCATATTATTACGAAGGCTCAAAGCACTCACAAGTTTTTGTTGAAAAGTTGGGTAGACTGTAAGTTGTGGAGGTGGAATTATGGTGAAAGGCTTGTGCACTGTCCTTAAACAATCTTCCAAGATCTAATAAATTGGTGGAACAGGCTTGATGGGCAGAATTACATCCTCCTGGTCCCAATTCTCGGTGTTCCAAGATGCTGATAAATGTTTTTGGTAAGCGTTTGGCCAGCTTGATGTGAAATTACAAGAGACCGATGCCAATCGATAAAAAAATAAATCTTTTCCTTGTAAAACTTAATATTTGCACTTACTAACATTTGTAGTCTTTGTAATAGTAATTACACTAACATTGCACTAACAAATTGCAAATTGCACTACTACTACACTCACATTGTTTTTACCAAAGTTAGTGTTAATCAAATTCGTGCAATCATTTGTAGATGCTGTCCATGCATTACCAAAATATTTTACCCACACATATATACAGTATATAAAACTGTATATCTATTTTGCAGTAAGATTGATATACTGTTTCTTCACTGATAGGCTTAGCGGGGAATACCAATTTGGAGCAAGCTCAAGTGGATGCCATTGCGGACACAATTAATGATTTCATGAATCTTTTCCCCTGGACAGAGAAGGACCAAACTTTGAAAGTAGGTTTGACGTTTAAATTCGTCATCTCGCACGACTGCTGTTGAGACAAAAGTGGCCAAAGTAACATTCACAATTATTTACCTGTTAGAGGAGCAAAATGCTATCAAACAAAATCTCAGAGTAATAGATAAAGGTGCTTTAGTTCATTATGCCTTTAACCTTCCGTTGTGTCCTTACCCGACCATTAGGCCCATCCTAACGTTATCTCATTATAAATACGCTTCACTAAGATGCTTTGTAAACTGAACGAATCATCACATTTTAAAGTAAATTTCCTCATGGAACGGGTTAAACGGACCCGTTGTATTCTACACTTGTACCCTTGTATTCTATTTACACCGTAGTTTTTATTTACCTTTATTGCTGCAAAAAGTTTGGGTTTAAATGTTTGCAGAGCTTAGTGAAAGGGTGTAGGAAGCTTTTGATATCACAAGTGGTGAAGGTGGAATAGCCAGCTGATACACGCTGTCAAGGCACGCATGTAAAAATTGGCCACTGGTTCCAGAGTCAGGAACAAATCGCCTATAAAAGCATTCCCATTAACAGTTTATTGAGACGCAATCCACTCATGTTGCACACTGCTTGGTTGTCAGGAGTAAACAGTAAAGGAAATGCTATTTATATTGATCAATTCCGGAAAGGATGTGTTTTCAATAGGAACTCAACAATGATTTCCTCCCTTACAGCAAAAGATGATCGAAGACGTCTTCATCAACAACAGCAACTTGTACCTGGATGGGATAGAGAATTTATTGGGAGACAAAATGTGGTTCGTTGGCGATTCGGTAGGTTGAGATTCATTTGATTTTAATTATGGGAATATTTTTCTTTTAAACGCAGGTAAGATGACTGAAAAATGTTGGTACACTAATCTTCTCATGTTAAATTTTGGCTGAAAAAGCACTCCATTCCCCAGGAATTCTAGTTGGGAAAAGCACCTTGGGTTTTCTTCCAGCAAAAGGTCTGATCCAAACACTAAAAACCTCCAATTAACGAACAGTCAGTGGATTTGTTTTTAACATAAAATACTTAAACGTTTAAAATGACAAGCAAATAAATCACTCCATAATTTACCGGACCATTTGCCAACTTACACAATATGAACCATGAAAGCATTGCTACATTTGTCTGTCAGATGTCATGTCAGCATATCTTTTAAAATGCAGTGCTTTGTACATTTATTCTGGAGAGAAATTACTATTACTTGTTCAGCAAATCACTCACCTGTCTACCAGTACTATTGACAGGAGGAGCGCATCAATTTTTATGTTATATAACTCGTCTAATTCCACCGGTATAATCATACAGTAATACTGTCTACATTTTGCATTTGAGTTTAACTTTTAACTACTCGTTACCCAAATTTTAAATCATTATTCTTTCTCCAATCTGATCACCAATACAAGACAACTGTGTTATTATGTCTCTCCCCGAGGCTGTGATATAAATGAAGGGTGTAAAAATGGCTGACCTTTGGGTAGACATGTCACTGCTGACATCGCTTCCTTCATGAACTCATAGTCTTGACATCTCTGATCTCACCACCAACAACAACAAAATTACGTTTGTAAAGCGCCTTTTACGTCTGGAGGACGTCCCAAGAGTTACGGACCCGAGCTGGGGGTCGGGGTGTGGGAGGGTAGAGCGCAGGTGGGGGGAAGCAGGGAGGTCGAAAGCACGGTTGAAAAGGAGGGTCTTGAGGTGGGTCTTGAAGGTGACGAGGGAGGGGGTGAGACGGAGGGTCTGCGGGATGGAGTATCAAAGGGTGGATGCAGAATGTGGAAGGTCCGCCCACCGATAGTGGGGCGAGCGAGGGTGGGTACGTGAAGCAGGCCGGAGCCCACTGATCGGAGGGAGCGAACAGGGTGGTAGGGGGTTAGGAGGTCGGAGAGGTAGGGGGGAACAAGACCGCGGAGGGCTTTGAAGGTGAGGACCAGGATCTTGAACTGGATCCTCTGTGTGATGGATAACCATCACAGACAAGGTCATTTTAGACCACTTCCTCATCTCCCTCCTACCCGTCGACAAAGCTTCTGCCCTCAACGATCACCTCTTCTCAACTTTCAATTCTCATGTACCCCTGAAAACCAGGTCCGTCTCCAAACCTACCCGCTACCCCTGGTACAACAGTCACCTCTGCTCCCTCAAATCCCCAAAGCAACTGCTCGAGTGCAGACGGCACATGGTTCACCGTCAACTGTGGCTCAAGCATTTTCATTGCCAACCAACTTCGTTCACACCTCTCCCTCCACTCCCTACTCGAACCCCTCCAGTCTTTTTTTTTCCCAGCCCACAGCACAGAGACGGGGCTCGTTAAAGTAATAAATGATTTCCTTTCTCTCTGTGACCAGGGCTCCCTCTGCCCCTTCATCCTCCTGGACCTCTCCGCCATGTTCCACCATGCCATCCTCCTCCACTACCTCTCCTCCCTCATACACCTTAGTGGGACTGCACTCGCATGGTTCGAGTACTACTTTACAAACTGCCAACAACACATCTCGGCAAGTGTTTTTTTCCTCCCACCCCGCCCGGTCACCTGCAGGATACCCCAAGGCATCATCCTTGGCCCACTTCCTTTCCTCAGCTACATGCTCCCACTCAGCGATCTCATCTGCGGACGTGGGGTTAACTTCCATGTGTATGCGGATGATACTGAAATCTACTTCAACTCCTCCAGCTGCGACTCCCAGTCTGCTGATGTCCTGTCAGCTTGTTTGACGGACATCGAGGCCTGGATGAGCGCAAATTTCCTGTCGACAAGACGGAAACCATACTCTTTGGCTCCCATCAATGTCTTCTCTCCTGCAGGTCTGACCTCAACTTCCCCGGACTCTCCCTCAGACTCTCCAAATCCGTGCACAACTTAGGTGTCAGGTTCGATCCTCAGTTTCCCGTTTTACCCTACATCCGTTTTCTGACCAGAACCACCTTTTTCCAGCTCCGCCACATTGCCCGGTTCCGTCTGTCCCTCACAACAAATGAAGCCGAAACCCTTGTCCAAGCCTTCGTCACTTCGCGGCTGGACTATTCCAAAGCCCTCCTCGCTGGTCTCCCCAGCTCCACCATCGCAAGACACAAATAGCCCAAAACTCCACAGGCCGGATACTCACCCACAGCAAATTCTTGTTTCCCCCATCACACCGGTCCTTGCCGGGCTCCAATCCCTCCGCCTGGCCCCCTCCCTCCCTCCTCACCTTCAAATCCCGCCTTACGACCTTCCTTTTTGATCGTGCATACAGTCACATCACCCCCTCCCTCTCCCCTTGGCTCGTTGTCAGACTCTGCCACTGTCGAGCTCTCGGGACACTGCCTCGCGTTAAGGGCGCTGTGTAAATGCAAGTTGTTGTTTGTTTGTCGCTGTTGTTGCTGATGAAGTCCCATCAGCGGCGCCTCAGGCAACGACACGCAGGAAATGACATTAACGGCAACCAGACAACAGGGAAGTTGGAAGCCAGTCAGGCTAGGTGTACTGCTCTTCTGGTTGACACGGCTCCACAGTTGACCTGCTGCCTACTCGACTTGCTCTGAATAAATTTGTGTGCCACTGGGCTAGGGCCCCACCGTTGAACTGTCCCATATTTCCTTTCAGACAACAAATCCGATTCTTCGGTACCGTCAAACCTCAGTCGTGAAGGGTATATTTGATAATCTTCTACCGATCTTCCTTTACCATAACCATCAAATCCAGTCTACGTCTTTCCTTATTATATTATACATAATATATTCAGAGTCCTCAGCTTGGCACCCAATGCAAAGTTTAAAATCTCAACATTTTCTACTGAAAAGAAATGGTACCGAAATTACGAAGGAACATTTTGAAGCGGTTTATTTTATGGGAGTAATAAAAAGCCTCTTATTCGTGTAACGATGAACAGGAACTGTGCGGAAATGATGTTCTTTTGCCTGCAAAGTACAGTAATTCTAATAAAGTGTATTCCTTTTCAGCAGTACGATCCATATGCATCAAGATTATATCTAAGCGATTTTCAACATAGCCTTAAAGCATTTTTTTGTTAAATTTTCTCTAACAAAATAACAAATTTAAAAACGTGAAAAATACCTTACCTTTTTGATTTGTTTTCTTGCTTTACGGAGAAAAAGTAGTCGTTTCCAATTTATCTGAATACGGTGGCTTTATTCAGCCCTGTAATAAGATAATTGCAGCTCACTATAGCATTTAAGAAGGGATGGAACGGGGAGAGCTTAAACAGGTTTTTTTTTTTCTTTTATGGCTCAAAAGGTGGGCGTGAAAAATCATTCCACTCCCTCTCGATTTCCTTCTGAAATTACAAGCTGCTTTGAGCTTTGAAATATTCAAAATCAGGTTTTAACGGAGAGGAAGCAGCAAGTCTTAAGTCATTCTTCATTCCTAGAAGTACTATGGACTGGATGCAGCACCAATCGATCAATCCTTTGAGCACCAGTCACAGGCTTGTAAGGTGATGGCACAATGAGCGTCCAGTTACTGCTGGAAGTTGCTTCAAATGTTGAATCTTTACCTCCAATGTGGATGACGGCTTCAAACTAAAAAATAACTTTCAGCAATGATCCAGATTTCTGGCGTAAAGCACTTACTTCGCTGTAATTACTTTCAGCGTCGTGGCTTTTTGTAGGCATCTCAAACGCGTGCAAACACAAAGATAAGTGCCTGTCGTTATAATCCGCACAGACAGAATTGTGCGGATTATAACAACAGGCACTTAACATTATGAGAACTCAAATTGTACTTTATAATTAAATTAAAATATCCCTGAATGATTTTAGCATTCAGCGGTGGTCTGCAGATAACCAACAAGGGAAATTAAATGGGTCTTATGAAACCCAGCAATGCACATTATCAGTATATTATATGAAGGCATTGACTGTATCAATCACTTCAATTGCGTGACTCTTCCTTTGATTTAGCCTTAATCTGTGTGATGCATTGACCAGAATCTATTTCTACTGACTTTTTGCAAATGGAAGTGCATTAAGTTATTGCTTTTGAATTTATGGCACTATTTTTCAATTCATATCTCCTCTTATCTTTTCGCTCTTTTGATTCCACTGACAATAGCTCTCAATGTCGCATTGAGTCAGAAGAGCACTGGAGTTTGGCACTGTTAACAGCCTATATATAAAAAAACAGGAGGCACGATGTGATGTGTTGTTCAGTCATGGCATTGTTTCAAACCTATCACCCCCACATTGCTCAATCTACACTTTATAGATCCAAGGGCAATTTAACCAATAGTTTTCATTTGGGGCAGAAACAGAGGGCCAGATATTTCCCCACAAAGTGCGAGAAAATCCTAAAACAAAAAAAAACAAAAAATGACGTGCACAAAACGGCTACAGAAGCAAATATCTTCCATTGACGCCGATAGAGTGCTAATTTTCAACAGTGATTTATTACTGTAACGACTACTCAGAAGTGACAAATTCCATTTTTCCTTGTTTCTAGGTTACCTGGGCTGATTTTCACTGGGCTGTGTGTTCCATCACCCTCACCAATCTGAAGGCCGACGTCTTATGTAGCCATCCCAAACTGTTATCTCTGAAAGAGAGAGTGGAGGAACTTCCTTCAATAGCCTTTTGGATAAAACAAAGACCCAACACCGTATTCTAGCTGTGATCTGATTCAGTCTACAACTTTGTTTAAACNAAAAGCATCACATTACTTTTTACACCAGTCATTTAACAATAATTTGCTTTAAAAATCATTGTGGCTTATGAGGTTAAGAACTTTAAGCAGTAGCGTTTGATTAACTGGTTAACATAACATGTATATTATTTACATTGAGATCAGTTCTTTGCAATGTTTAACGTGTGATGGGAATGCAAGACATTGTTCCACCTGAGCTGGCTGTTCATTGCCTATCTTAGGGAGGAAATGAAGTCAGGAACACATCAGCTTTCTAGTTTCCTGATGGGAATACTTAGGCTGGAGTTGAGGAGGATTTTCATTCAGCTTGGACGCACTGTGTGTTAATGAATCAAAGTAGATTTTCTGAAGTCAACGTACAGCATTAAAGTAACAAGGGAACACTTTGTTTAATATCACCTGTTTTCGCATTTAATTGCCTGTACAACCGAGTAAAATATAAGAATGAGTTAAAGGAAATAAACTAACTAGGCAAGAAGACCTTGAACTGTCTATTTTGGAATAAGGAGAGGGAATAGATTCAGTAAGTTAAAAACAACACCAATCTATCTAGTTACCACGAGTCACCCTTCTCTCTTGGAAGAAAATACTGTACATGTGCCAAATTACTACATTATGTTATGTAAAATTATGAATAAATTACCAACAGCAATTATACTAAAAAGTTTAAATGCCAATTCAACTAGAATAAAGATCAAATGTGAACCTCTTTTGAATGCCAAGCTTGAATAAAACTTTCTAATGCTGTGTTATTCTACATGTAATGGTATTTCTAAATCAATTTAAAACTTAAGATGTCATTTCATTTAAAAAAAAACTGCTTTTTAAACGCTCAACCATTACGTCTGCAGCTCATCTCCATTTTTGTCCCAACGCTAATTAAAACCAAGTTTGATCTGCTCCGCATTCAGTTACTGTGACATTCTTCCTGTACGGGCAAACAACTTGTAATATTCAACTGCCTTCAAATATCATTTGAAATGTAACGTACTCTATTACCTTCTCTTTGATGATAAATAAATATCAACTTTTCTTGATGCATCATAGCTAGATCGTCTCCTTGTTCTTCAGGTGGTCCCTCACCTCCGTAAATTGCCTGCCTCAAGCCCCCTTACATATGCCGCCAAAATCCTCACCCACACTTTCATCACATTCCTGCTTGCTGGATTCCTCAGCTCTTCCCTACATAGGATGCAAATTACCCATTACTCTGTAACCTGTGTCCTCTCTCGCACCAGGCCCATCAACCCCGTCCTCACTCAGCTCCACTGGCTCCCCATCACCCAGTGGACTCGATTCAAAATCCTCGCTCTACCTCTGCGACCTCCTACAACCTTACTGACCCAGTCGCTCTTTTTTGCTCGGCTAACCCTGGCCGGCATCACGGCACCTGCCCCCTATCAAGCGTTCAACCGATCTGCCCCACACTCTCTGGCACTCTATCCTGAATTCCCATCTCCATCCCGACTTGGTCCCTCCCTCCCGCCCCTCATCATGGTCGGTCTCAAAACATTCCTCTTTGACAGCACTTTATCGGTCAGCTTTCGGCCTCCCCATCCCCTTTGGCTCACGTGTGTGGCCAGCCAGGCCTTACACGTTTTTTTTAAAAATAGAACGTCACCAAGCCATAAACAGTAGTCAAGTAATACGTTCCCTTCAGTGCAGATCAAATCCTGTTTACTGCTAAATTAACGGAAATCGTATCGCCTCACGAGTTAAACCAGTGTCAGGTTTAGAGTGCGTATTCAGTGCGAATTTGAAAACAGTGCACATACTGGATCAAATACAATCTAAACAAAATCAGAACTCCCTCCAGTAGACTATCACCTGTGCTGCCCAACTCTTATTCCAACCAAATTATACTGGAAGTAACAAAGTCGAATATTAAAATCCTGATATCTGCCTCGACTCTACTTGCACTTGGAACAGTTGAAATGAAGTTGGCCATTCTCCCAACTGGCCCCGACACCCACATCCAGGGCGATCAATGATCTCTGCGGTTCCTGAACCCAACTGCTAGCCACTGCCGGAAGTGACAGAAAGCCTGAGGTTTGTAGGCTTGTAGAAGTGTCAAAAAATTAAATGTTCTGTAACTCAGCGGCAAACAATGCAATCAAGTCACTTTTACAGCAATGACTCCTGCAATACACCACAATGCCCGAGGAGAGAACCCAACAGTACAACATCACATTGACAGCACAAGTTCCTTGTTCAAGCTTGTGGTTTGAGGCGTGTGCAAAAGCTTTTGTTTATTTTATGAAAAACGTGACTGAAATGACAGTTTCGTTGAGATGTGCCTGAATATCAAACCTGACCCTAATTTCTCTTTAAGCGCAAAGCATCTTCTTTGAAGAATTTCAGGGGCAGCCTGCGTGAAGAGAAGAGGCAGGCGCCCAGGGAACACATTGGTGGCCTCCACAGTGGCACTATAAATAATAATAATCCTTGCATTTGATATAGCGCTTTTCACGTCGGGAGGACGTCCCAAAGCGCTTCACAGAACACACTGTAAAGTGAATTGACTGTATATTTGTGGGCGAAACGCAGCAGCCAATTGCGCACAGCAATGTCCCACAAACAGTCGTGGATTGAAAATGACCAATTTATTATTGTTTTTGGTTCTGGAGGGATTATTATTAGGCTCTGTGTGGAGTAAGGAAACTTGTCCAAGGTTTCGCCCTCTGCCTGGAATTGAACTCAGGTCTCTCGCTCGCAAAGCGAGTGCTCTAACCACTGAGCTACAGGACTCCACACTATAGTGTGTTCCGAGTTCTTGCTCTGGAATAGTGACTTTTTTCACCGTGGAAGTAGCGGCTCAACTGACTCCAAGAAAGGTACACTCGAGGGAAGCAGGGGAATTCCTGGTGCTCTAAATTATAGGTTACTTAACAGAGATGGTCTTGGCAGGCAAACTCATGATATAAAAAAGTGATAATACAACACTAAATGACATTTGTATAGGGCCTTTCACATCAGGAAGACGTTCTAAACTGCTGGACAGTCAGGCCAAGGACAGAGCCCTGAGGAACGCTATGCGAGATGGTGCTAGAGAAGCTGTTTGTGGAGATGAAGTGGAGACGGTGTGAGAGGTAGCATCTGAACCACTCAAGGACAAAACCATGAAGGTTGAGGTGAGAGGAAAGGTGGTGGAGGAGGATAGAGCATTCAACGATAAGGCAGCAGATAGGTCAAGGAGGACGAGGAGGCTGAGGGAGCCTTGGTCAAGCCTTCCATAATGCATTAACCCACCGGAAACTGGAGCATAGACCACCCAAGTTCCTGTGAGAGTTTCTTAAAGAGACGGCATCCTTGAAGAGTTTGTTTTCTTGTTAGAGGTAGGACATAATGATGATTGACTAATATGTATAGTGATCAAATACTCACATTTAAACAATGTTGAAACACGTTTTGGAACATGGTAGATCAGTGTGCTAGAAACCACAATAAAAACTGCAGAATTTTTATTTGCACTTAATTCCTCCTTTCCATACAAATACAATATATTGACAGTTAAGTCAAAAACAGTACATTGAGTAAAACAAAGAACAATTGTGACACCAGTTTGCCCCCCAATATGCGTTACACATTGTTCTATACACAAAAAGCCGAAATCAAAGAGCATGAATTATCTTGAGGTCAGCTGGTGTTCATTCACTTTTTATTATGTCTAAGGTAGAAAGTCACAAAATGTGGAATCTCCATCTCAACTTGTTCATATTATAGCTTACAGTGGGTTAGTTCACAGCACTTTCAGCAGGTTTAGAATTCCATAAAGAATTGGGAAAATGCCTTAGGACAAATTCCGACTTGGTGAGTAGCCTAATGAGAATATAATGAGCACAGGAAATTCCACAAGTCGTAAACAAGACTCTTCTTTTAAAAGCATGGTTTGATAGAAAATAACATATTAGAGTTAGATTGTGAAAATGACAAAATTAAAATAAGTTGGAATGCTTTAGTACCCGCTGTTTTCCACTAGAGGGAACTGCAGCATTAATATAATCGGCCTGCAGATGGTACCTGGAACTTCAGATTCCTAAACAAACCTCTAAATTTGCCCGAGGAATTGAATGTTTGCACACTATCAGTGTTATAGACCAATTTGCTGCTGCAGAAAAAATTCCAAATCCCATCTTCACATATGAAAGCTGACAAACGGGATGGCATTACAACAATTATTCATGGTTCTCATCCACTCAATAAGCTTCATCACTTTCAAAGATAGGTCAGAGGTTCCTCTTCTCTGTTGTGTCCCACAGAATCCAATATAGATTTTCCCCAATGGTGCTCAGGAAAAGACACATCTTTATAATCCTAATGAAGCCTTCAACAAAGTGGCCATGTTCAGTGGAATACTGCCCTCCTCTCCTTGAAAACAGAAAGAATATACAACAAACTTAACAGCTTACGTCATTTTTTAATAGTTTAAAATGTCACAATATTAACAACTGCAGCCATGTTAACTTTGGCTTTCTTGTTACAGATGAGCAGAATCCATATTACAGTTCAAAATCTTGCCAGATATTGAGACCTTATTTGGATCTTAGTATGCCACACCTACGTGAAGTGAAAGCTTTTTATTTGTGCTTCAGTGTTCACTAGGTGGACATTTATTGGTTAAATATAAATTATTAAACGAAAGCTACATGCATATGTAGCAAGCACAGTACTACTAGGAGAGCCCTGCATTGTCAGAGGTGCCATCCTTTGGATGAAACCTTAAGCCTCTGCCTGTTCATGTAAATGTTAAAGATCCCATGGCACTAGTCGAGAGAGTTTCTCCCGGTATCCTGGCCAAAAAAAAAATCAGTCATTCACTTCTCAGCTGTTTGTGGTACACTACTGTTTACAAATTGGTTGCTGTGTTTGCTTACAAAATAGTCACTACATTTCCCTGTAAACCCTGTTCACCTATTTGAGACATCCTCCTGATATGAAGGCACTGTATCAATTTAATTACTTGCTCAGTGCCAGAAACACAGAACAAAGATGCAACTTCCTCCAACTTCATATCCATTTCAGAAAGAAAGCCCATGTTTTTCACTCACCCGTTTCTGATGAAGTCATATCGTGTTCTAACTTCAATTTCTGCTGACCATTTTTAAGCATGGATTCCTCAATAGTTCCTTTGCTGACCAGTTTTATAATGTGCACAGTCCTGTAAAAAAAAATGTGTGGGGCGGGGGGAGAGCAAAGGAGAATCAAAAATACAATTAGCTTCCCTTAATTTTAAGTTTGAATTTCTTTTAAAAGAAAAAATGCTTCACGTAGGTAAGAAAATCCACAAAAAGCAACACTTGCTAAAGGAGTTAGACAGATCATGAAACCTTTAAAAAACAGCCAAGGTATTTTGACAGAGTGTAAAACAGAGCTAATGGCATAAGGATACATGCAGGATAAAGAGGGATTAAGAGAGAAACTATTGTCCAATCAACAAGATATTTCATCTCCATCTGAACATTTTTTTCCTTGCATCAGTGCGGTTATTAATGGTACGCTGAAGCCAGTTCCTGACTGTTTGCAACATGCATAGAATTGCGTCTCAAAACTAGTCCACTTGGAAAAAGAGAATGATAAGATTGAATCAGTGCCTAACTACTCCGTATTTGGAAAGCCGCAATGCACCTTATCTATTTCAACCCAAGCTTCTCTGGCAAGGTGCAGGGTTTATGAACGTCACAAGCTTTCTTTGTGTGGAGTAAGTGTGGGAAGAAATTGTAGCAATTTATTTTCTTCCCATTTAGCTCTTGTTAACATTGTGCTCCATAATCCTAACAGGTGGGGGGGTGGCGGGTAGTCTGACAAGCATCAGGAAGCTTGCCAGTCAATGTTTTCAATGGGAAGCTATGTGGTTTTAGCTGATTAAATCCATCAGTACCCCAACACACACTTTGGAGTCCCAGGACGTGGCTCTTTCCAACCTGTGACTAATAGTCTCCTGAATTAGGTAAACAGGATGCTTCCCACTGGGATGTTCCATTCCAATACACAGGCAATTTCCATGTTTAGGTGGGAAGCACCTGCTGTATCTTTGATATATTGCGTGCTCATCCTGTGATTGTTTAGATCCAATCTGTTTCATCTGCATATCCTGCAGGAAATTTCCTATCACTAAGATATACTTTAATATTTAAATACAGGTAGAATAAATATAAATCTCTTGGCCGAGGTATGATTGTTGTCACAAGGGAAATCCTACCTCTCGGATTTGAAGTAAATCTGTTCAAGCAATTTATTTACAACTGAGGTGGCGTATGAGGAGGTGGCACTACACTCCAGCCCCAAAGGTTCTGACGAGAAGTTGGATTAGAACTGTTTGAAGTTAGAAATAAATATTTTGGTTTTGGTTTGGCTGTCATACCTTCTTCCGAGTCTGTAAAATAAAGATTGTTTTACACCCTTCATCTGCTGATTTCTGCATTGCTACAAAGACTGCAAAAGGTATTCAGTCTCCTGAGAGACTCAATTTAGACTGCATTGCTTCTTCACAGGATAAGAAGCATTGGGGTGAGCTCTTGTTAATTGCATCAGGCTATGTATATCACTGTGCAAGTCATTTTAGATACACCAAGAGACTTGAGATCCTAACAATAGAAACACAAAAGATTTTACAATCTCATGATCATCTTACTTTGTTTGTCCTACTCTGTGACATCGGTCTTCTGCTTGTTTGTCATTGTAGGGATTACAGTCGATATCATGCAGGATGACTACATTGGCCGAGGTTAAGTTTATACCCAGGCCTCCAGCTTTGGTTGACAACAGGAAAACAAAAATATCCATATCTGTATTAAAATTATCGATCACGTGGATTCTGAAAAAAAAAGAAAAGTTGCCTGTAACCCACACAAAGATTAATTTAAATTAAAAATGTGAATAGTTTTGCTCATCAAACTTATGCTTTAAGAAGCTACATTGCTGGAATTAAGTTCCAAAGGAAATACATAAACAAGATAATGTGATTTCAAAGAGTAATTTGCAAGTAGGATAACATCTCAAAGAATTTTATGAAAAAATAGGAAACTCAAGCAAGAGGTAATAATAATCCTTGCATCTGATATACCACCTTATCACGTCTTCGAGACTTCTTAAATCGCTTCACAGAATATACTGTAAAGTGAATTCACTGTATATTTTGTGGGCAAAATAATTCTAATCCTTGCATTTGATTTAGCACCTTTTACACTGAGAGAACATCTCAAAATCCTTCCCACGATTTATTGTAAAGTGTAGTAACCGTGTATTTTGTAAGTGAACATCTACAAGAAGTGGACTGAAGAGTTAGGTTTTCACATAAGTTTTGAAAACAGAGAGCAAGAGTGAGTCGGATTTGGGGAACAATTTCCACAGAGCTGAGGCACAATAGCTGAAACAGTGGGGCAGAAGGGACATGCAGCAGGTCCAACTTTGCAGAGAGGAAAGAGTTGTATCTCCCATACGACAAGCTCACTTGAATTTCTAGTAACTCAAGTGTACAAAATTTTTAGAAAAACAATGTTTCAATGACCTTCTCAGTCAACAATAAAGAGGCAGTCATTGACGGATTCTGAAGGAAAAGAATGAGAATCACAAAAAGCCCTGCAAAACTACCAGCGGGTCTGTTTCTGAACACCCATGGAAATGCATGGCTAACTACCGGTCCCCTTAAGTCAAAGTGTTTTTAAACTTAAGACATTTGTATATTGTACAGATGTTTGCAGTTATGACTGCGAATTCAACAGAAATATCAGTTGTTGTTCTTTGGGATCCCTGGAAAAATATCTATACATATCATACAAACAATGGAAGGGTAAACTGTTCAAAAGATTACCTCTCAGAGATTTGAGTTTTGCCATCCATTCGAAGATATCTGTATTTATGATGTTTCAGAAAAACTTCAAGGATGTCCAACATCATAGTGAATTGGCTAAAGAGGACCACTCTGCTACCCTAATAACAAACAAATTAAAGGGTTTATGATATATACAGAGTAGGTAATTGGATCAAGATATATTAACAAAGTTTAACATCAGTTGAAGATCAGATTCCTAAGGTGGCCTTTCAGTCTTAAAAAAAAACTCCCAAAGGAATTCCAGAGAGCTGGGACAGAATAGCTGTAAAACAGTTTAATGGTGCAATGGAAAGATGGTATGGGCATTCTGAAAGGAAGGAGCTCCAATGGATCAAAAACTTTTTTTTAGCCAAAACTATCTTGCGACGTGACAGAAGGTAATGGTAACCATATGCGTCCAACCGACCAGTACTTACTTTGGTTCACAAGCGGGAGAACATGTTTATGCCTCCAAGCCCCAGTGATGAGAATGACAGGTTGGTCAACCAACAATGGCTTGGATTACGGCAGGGCTGCCTGGCTTTGCCAGAATGCAATGGATTCTACTTACCTGTGTTTTAAGATCTTCAAGCATCTGCTCTAATATTTGAAACTTTCCCGAATCTAACAGCAAGTTTTTATCTAACTGAAAGTTACGGATGCTGCCAAACTCCTGGCAGAGAAGATGTAATTCAAAATCTGTCATCACCTCCATGTCTTCAAAAATGAGGTCAGGATTGGCATCCCTGTGGGTAGGCTCCTTTAAACAGATTAAAACAAGTAGAAATCTGAAATTAATTTCCCAAATGGCACTAGCAAACTTTCTCCAAACAATGCTATTTAAATCAGGACATTCCCAAAGATATGACAAAACTGTCACTTTTCCATATTCCATACACAGTGTTATTGAAACTAAAATCAGTCATTGTACTTTACTTTTACAACAGAGCCTTGCTTAGTCACAGTGGTACGTAACGCTGTGTCACGCAGGAGGAAGGAGCTCAGTTTCCCAACAGGGAGATATGTTGCTTGTTCTGGTCATGTTGGGTATTTTCTGCTCCTGGTCCAGTTTGTCCCTCCAGCTTCTGCCAACGTGCCAGGTTGGCTGGTCTGTCATTAGCAATGCCCTTGAGTTCTGTGTAATTATCTGGCTCAGGAACTGGACTACCAAAACCGTCAGAGGATTGACTCGATTTTGACATTCCTTTACCAAGCATGTTATCTTGGAGCCAACTCAGCTCCAGGAGATCTCACTTGCCTCTTCCTTCCCTCTCCCTCCAGGAGCAGACCCATTACTTGGGGATAGGGATTCATCCCAATCAACTTCCGTTTGCACTGCTAACCAATGGGTTATTAGCATTTTAGTACTTTTCATATTTACTTGCAGTATTCCCTTTATTATTTTCAGTAGAAAGTTTATTCACTTAATAGGTAAATGCCTCGGGTCAGCTCCCAGGAAACCCTTATTACCTTACTTACTACCCTTACCTTCTTCATTAACTTGGACATTTTCCGGAGTTTGTCAGCTGTGTAGTACTGCCTGTGTAGCAGTGGGTGGTTTGCCATCTTTCTTAGTTGCATCATTACATTGCATAGATCGCTTTTTTCTAGGATATGAACACAGAATAAAATTGTAGGAGGAAAGAGAGTGTAACTTGATATATATGTTCAGTAAAATTGTGAAACCATGAAATCACTGAAATTAGGAGTCAGGGATTTTGTGAAAAAGTGATTCCCGCAGTTGACTGGGGCCGTCATCCTGAGGGGTCGCTATTCCAGGAACCAATTAGCCCTCTGCCCACAATGATTGTTAACAGAGACCTGCGTCAACTAGGGAAAGTCAGTGTCACTCGGTGAAGCTGTCATTTCAGTCTGTTTGTGGTGGATAAGGCTTTACATAGTGTAACTGCGGTCAGAGGAAATATCAGACCAACCATTGTAAATGATGAAAAGCAAAGCTAAAATGTATCTCCCGGTGTTGTGGAAGCTTCACTTGTGTTAACAAATAAACATCTGACTCATCACTGAATGAAATGTCACATGAAGTTTATGGTGAATAAAATATTAATTTTCACAACGTATTACTTATTTGTTAATAATGCTAACAAGTTACCAATATAATAATATGATCATTTTTTCACGGAATCCCTGACTCCCAATTTCAGTGATTTCATAGTTTCATAATTTTTACTGAAAATTTCAGGGATTTTGCAAACTTTACTGTACTTTACTGTAACAACATCATTGTAGGATTCACATGCTCCACTCGGTAATAAATGTCACTGAAGCAGCCAATTTGCGCACAGCAGTGTCCCACAAACAGTCCTGGATTGAAGTGACCAATTTTATTATTTTTTTCTTGAGGGATTATTATCAGGGGTGTGGAATAAGGAAACTTGCCCAAGGTTTCGCACTGCCGGGAATCAACCCCAGGTCTCCCACTTGCGAGGCGAGTGCTCCAACCACTAAGCTACAGGACTCCTTAATAAGAGTAGTTATCACGACTTTTGTCACCCTATAACAACAAAAAATTGCATTTATACAGCACCTTTCATGTTGGGAGGATGTCCCAAGGTCTGGAAAGTGAAGGGTTTGTACCAGAGCTAGGACCTGGAGTCCTAGAGTGGGGCAAGGTTGGGGGGGTGGGGCGTTTGGAGGTGGGAGGGCAGAGAGGGAGGTGCAAGGCCTTCAAAAGTGAGATTGAGGATCTTGAACTTGATCATCTGGGGTACGGGGAGCTTGTGAAGGCAGGAGAGGATAGGAGTTATGGGGTCACAGAGCTTAGCGTGGGAGTTAGCAAAGTCAAGCCTGGATGTAATGAAAGATAGGATAAGGATCTCAGCAGCCTAAGGGAAGAGATAGTGGCAGAGGTGGACAATGTTGCAGAGTTGGGGGAAAGCAGAGCTGGTCGTGGCACAGATGTGGGGTTTAAAAGACAGTTGCGGGTCAAATAAGACAGCAAGGTTCCATACTGGCTTGGTGAATAGGTTGAGAATAGGTGTTATGCTTTTACCAGATACAGTACTTACCATTTCTGTTGATCGACCTCTTTAACTTCTTGAAAAGGGCAGTGTATGCTTGCCCCTGTTTTTCTGACATTGAACATATCTCTAGACGATCCTGCTTGGGTGGTAGCTGCTGCAAAACCTAAACAAACAAAAAAACAATTTGTGCCACCAAAGTCTTTCAAAATAATTTAAGAGCAATAAAATACATGTCTTTTTCCCAACAGTCAGTCAGTACCAATCTTCTGGTTTTCTACTATTGCCAAAGATGTCTGAAATATTTTATACTCTAATTGTTTTGTATATTTACAGGACTTTGGGATTTATATATAGGAGGAGCAATTCAGTAAGTTTGTTCTAATTTAATAGATCTTATAATTTTTTTTATCTCAATATCTTAACTTTTCATCCAACTCTTTAATACCTCAAATACTTATGTTCACTACCCGTTTCTATTTTAAACATCCCAACTGATTCCACTGTTAAATGTATATATATCATTACCTCACTTTTTAGTCTCCTTAAGATAAATGGCTTCATGATCTTTTTGGCATGAGCAATCCTCCCTTTTTCAAAGGTACTTTGTTCATCTGAGGTTTTCTAAAAATAAACAAAACACTCATATTGAATTGCAGAAACAAAATCCAGATATGAAAACAGCAGTTATGTTCGGAGACAACAGCACTATGAAGATACCTACAAGTGTTGCTTGAATTAACTTTTTGGATCTTAGAAAAGCATGTCTACATATATTGAAAAAAACGACATCGGCTAACACTAATAGCAAACAGAAACAGAAAAGAAACATCAGGTTTTTTTTCCTATGCTTTTATATGCTTACAAAAAGCATGTAGTTATTTCACCTGTGGGCTTGAATCCAGCTCAGTGTGATGGAATAAGTGTTCTCTTTAATCAGTAAGGATCTTTGAAATCAGTTAGTGCCTCGTAGGCACTGCGCCTCAGCACAAAACTTCCCATTAACCAAGAAGTTTATTCAAAGTTCTTATACAGTAAACTGATAACTTCAACCCTGGCTTAACTTGTCACTACAGCTTAAATCGCCATGGTGTCAATATCCCAGAAGCTTCAAATGCAAAATGTTAATAAGGGACTTTGCTTTACAACAACAAAATTACATTTATAGAGCGCCTTTCATGTTGGGAGGACATCCCAAGGCGCTGGACAGTCAGGGGTCAGACCCAAGCATGGGGGGAGGGGTGGGAAAGGGGTGAGGGACGGCAGAGAGGTGGGAGGCCGACCAAATGCACGATCAAAGAGGAGGGTCTTGAGACCGGCCTTGAAGGAGGCAAGGGAGGAAGCGAGGCAAAGAGACTGTTGGATGGAGTTCCAGAGGGTGGGGGCAGAGAGGCTGAAAGCCCAGCCACCGAAGCCCTGGATGCATCTGAGCATGTGCATGCAACCTCCGCAAGCACCTGCACCAATCAGAGAGTCTCGTGTGGCCCAGGAGGACCTATCCCTAACTTGCCAGTCCGGATAACTCGTCGCTGAGCTCTTTTCCCTTGGAAAATCAAGTTAAAAAAATGTTCATCCAGTCTTGCAACCATCACTAAATATCCTTTCAGAAAATGTCCAATCTCGTAAAAAAAAATCCATATTTTTATAGCTCTTTACACATAAATCATTTCTCTTAAAGTTGCCTAGTGCTTACCGCTTTAGAAGAAAACATCCTTCGGATCTCACTGGTACTACTGCTGAACATGTTTGGCATGACAAAATTTAACAGAGACATCAGTTCCAGGAGATTGTTCTGCAGTGGAGTTCCAGTCAGCAGTAAGCGATGTTGAGCCTAGTATTTAAAGAGATATATAAAAGTGGATCAAAATTTATACAGAACATTCTTGCTCTTTAAAGAATATTTATAACTGTTTATCGCGAAGTTTAGAAAATATATCCAGAATATCCAAGATTTTTTAAATTGAACAAAATAGCAGAAATTCTGGGTCACAAGCACTAGAAATCTTCCAAAGGAAACCAGCAAATTGGGATGATTACATGTGACACTGAACATTAGATTAAAACAAGACAAAAATAGCCTGAAGACCAAATGGTATTTGTCTTAAACTTACATTAAATGTCATTAGATGCTGATAACGGATGGTACTCATGTTCTTCAGCATGTGACCTTCATCAAAAACTGCATAATGGAGCTTTACACGTCGAAAGAGACTGCGATCATCTGCATTACTAATTGAACAGGAATACCTGAAGAGTGGAATAATGAAAATATAAACTGGAATGCATTTCTGGTTCAATGCAAACTCACAGTATACGTAATTAAATCCAAGGTTGCATTTTTGTTTTTAAATGTCCAACTTTCTCATGATTATTGCTTAAGAGTTTAATTAAGTTTAATACAGAAGACAGGGTATTTTGAGTTAGTTTGTCTACGCTAAAATTTCCCTTGGCTGGGGAAGAGCACGATCAGAAATGGTCCTCATCGCTATCCAATGACTTCTGCTGGAACATGAACGTCAGAGGAGGATAGAATTGGGACATATTATGATGGCTTACTCCCTCATGGACAAACAATCTGCCTCATACATAAAACATAAAAATATCACTTGGATAGAGGGAGTATCAGAAGGCTGCAGAACCGCCTTTGGAACTTATTATAAATCCCAACATAAGACAACATGTTTAGGGCAGGAGGAAGATAACCGATTAGAACATAAAATGTGGAGTCCTGTAGCTCAGTGGTTGGAGACTCACTCCGCAAGCGAGAGACTTGGGTTCGATGCCCGGCAGGGCGAAACCTTGGGTAAGTTTCCTTACTCCACACGCCTGATAATAATCCGGAAAAGAAAAAAAACAATAATAAATTGGTCACTTCAATCCACGACTGTTTGTGGGACGCTGCTGTGCGCAATTCGTTGCCGCGTTTCGCCCACAAATATACAGTCAATTCACCTTAGTCTATTTTGTGAAGCGCTTTAAGACGTCTCGAAGACGTGAAAAGTGCTATTTCAAATGCAAGGATTATTATTATTTATTATTATTATAATATGATTGCCTCATCATGAAGCCATTTAATCCCCATTGGACTCACAATTGAGATTGCTGGTTATTTATCTACTGCAAATCATTTGATGCTTTTTACAAAACTGATGGGATATCAAATAAGCACATGATTATTGGAGTCCTGAAAGGAAGTGCTGCAGGACACATTTTCTGCTACTAGAGGGAGCATAAACTGACTTGTTAGGACAAATTTTTAGACAGTAGAAATCTAACCTTGAGTTTATGCTCCCTCTAGTGATGTAGAATAGGTACCACAGCAGCAAAAAAAATTCCGATGACTTTTTAAAATAGGTCAAATAATATGCCTGTAAAAGTTGAACTACTTACCTAGATATAACTTGCTTAAAATAAACTTCAAATTCTACGTACATTCTTCAAAGTACAGACTTCTGATTATTTCCTGCAGATACAAACTTGTCTGCCGCTATCAGTGCAGCCGGGGTGTACTGCTAAATCAACTGTGTTTACATCCCCCGATGGCATCCTCTACCTGGATATTGCTCTGATCAGGCCACATCTAGAGTACTGCCTGCGTACAGCTCTGGTCACTGCGACAAAAGGGGGCTGACCAGGTCCCAGAGGCAGTGTAGAGTAATGCAATAAGGATCATAATAATCATCATCTCCAGTATTCGGGGAATGAGCTATGAGTTGGGCTAAAAGGTGAGCTGCAATTTTTCCACAGAACTGTGGAAAAACCACAACACTGGACTCATTTAAAAGGAGCTTGACGCTGTGATGGGGGTGAAGGTAGCATGGTTATTCTGGCAGGATGAGATCAGATTGGCTGAAGGATCCTGTTCAGCCAAACTGATCTAGTGATTTTGTGAGATGTGAATATCTCTGATAATTTATTGACGTTTAGTATTGGTTGTAAAAATGCGTGTAATAAAAAAGACAAATCCACAACTTACGTGGTTACTATGACATTGAAGTCCACAATCTTGTGAAGTATGTCAGATCTGAGAAGCTTCCTATCTTCCAATGAACCTAACCACAGAAAATACACAATCATAAGCATCAATTAATTAGATGCTATATATACGCGCGAAGGATGCAAGGAGCATTTTAAATGACAGACTCAAACCATTAACCATTAATTGACCATGTATAGTTAAATATAATAATTCCTGTTTTTGATATTGCACCTTACCATGTCGTCAAAATGTGTCAAATCGCTTCAGTGGATTTTTACTGTAAAGTTCAGTGACTGTATTTATTGGCAAATATACAGAAGGTAGTGTGCTAAAGAGACAATTTGTGAGATGGCAAGTAGATCTTTATGGCAAAATGCAGACCGAGTACATTAGGGTTTGCTTCTGTGACTTTTTGGTTAATTGTTCAGCTTGCAAACTAGGCGGATGAAAGTACTGTACTAAAACAAAGAGTCTGTGCTGATTAACTAGTAAGAGATACCACAATAAAATTCCTCACAGTTCCAAACTGTACACGTGGAGATGGAGAAAAAGAACGAAGAGAAAAAAGACAAAAGTAGTACTTTTCTTACCATAATACAAAAGGATTTTGAGTTCAGGGCACCAATGCTTAAATTCTCGGATCCAGTTGTCTGGGGAAATCACAGAACAAAAACTTAATATGCTCATTTAAACTGTAGATTAAATCTTAATATTTACTGTTGTTTTACAGAATACTCACCAAACAACATTAAACACAAAACAAAAAAAAATGTAGTAATTAGATTAACTAATCAATGTGTTGTGAGTTACACATTGATAGAAAATAAAGCTGTACAGCACTGAGTAAAATGTATCTTATTTACTACTGCAATATGTTCTCATATCGCAGTAGGTTTGAATAAAATGGTACCCGATCAAGATCTTTATTTATATATATATATATATATTGAACTAAAGTTAGGTCAATGGATCACTTTTATAAGATACTGCTCAAAAATTTCAAATATTATGTGAAATGAAATTCCTACAATGCTTATACAGACATTTCTTAATCACTGAACAAATTGTAAAATCATGAGACAATCATCATTGCTGAAATCATCATTGCTGAATACGTTTTATGACTTTTGGCATTTATTAAGCACTGGTAACTGGTAACACAGAGCAATAGCTGAAATTCAATACATATCCTGCTAGAAATATACCACCTAAAAAAAATTCAGCAAGCTTTCAATAACAGTACAAGAATACGAAACACTGCCTGCAAAGTGTCACAACAGGATAAGTTGTGGTATTTTGTCTTTTTACTCTCGAGTACTGTTAAATTAATGGTGTTTTGTCTCAAATTACCTAGAGTAGAGGCAGGTACTGTGATGAGATGTGGTCCTTTGTCTCCTTTCTGGTAAAGAAAGGCCAGGAATGCTATGGCTTGTACAGTCTTTCCCAAGCCCTGCAAGCAAAGTAAGAGTCCATCATTCAAACATGAAATTACGATTTTATAAAATGAATGTCTGTCATGTTAGACTTTTTTTTTTGCATGGTTAAAATCTTGTATGGAAACAGAAAACAACTTCTCCACACTACAAGGGAGGCAGACGATATACTTCGAAGTCCCCTCCAACATAGCAGTTTTAAAATGAGATGTTTGAAGCCATGCAAAACCATCTTATAGTGTACCTCCTAATTAGTGTACTCAGTTTCTGCTCAGTGCAGCTCCACAGTGGAGAATGAGTTTACAATTACAAGCATACTAGCTCTGCCACGAACATTTTAAATTTATTGTATTCTTGGAACCAGCACTTTTTGAAAGAACTAATCCAATCTGATTGTGTAGAAATACAACAACAAAAACAAAATGACGTTGGTAAAGCGCCTTTCACGTCCAAAGGTGCTGAAATACTATTACGGTTGTTCTTAAAAGGAATTTTTCATGATACATAGTAAGAATTTTTGGTAATTTCACACACTTGGGGTTTGTACAGCTTTGGGCATCTATTATTATCAGGGATGAATGGATAAAACGATTAAGAAATATTGGATACACTGGAGATTTTCTCTCCCGAGTTGTGGACGATTGAGTCGGGGACAAGATAGAAGTATTTAAGATTATGAAAGAATTTGATAAGGTGGACTTTGATAAATTGTTTCCACCTGTTGGCGAGTCCAAAACAATGGGACAGAAATAAAAGACAGCCAGTAGTAGATAATAATAATCCTTGCATTTGATATAGCGCTTTTCACATCGGGAGGACGTCCCAAAGCGCTTCACAGAATATACTGTAAAGTGAATTGACTGTATATTTGTGGGCGAACGCGGCAGCCAATTGCGCACAGCAATGTTCCACAAACAGTCGTAGATTGAAAATGACCAATTTATTATTGTTTTGGAGGGATTATTATTAGGCTCTGTGTGGAGTAAGGAAACTTGCCCAAGGTTTCGCCCTCTGCCTGGAATTGAACTCTGATCTCTCGCTTGCAAAGCGAGTGCTCTAACCACTGAGCTACAGGACTTCTTAAGGGATACGAGAAACTTCCCGCATAGGGTGGCGATGTATGGAACTCACACTGGTTGCAGTTGAAGGGCATCCAACATAAAGAAAACTTGATGCAAGATGAGGGTGAGGAAATAGAGGGATATAGGAGAGAGACATAGGAGGCGTGCAGGTACGTGTCGAGTATAAACATCAGCACAAACTAGTTGGGCCGAATGACCTGATTTCATGACGTATCATTTTATGTAATTCCACTGGCATCCAGAGGATAGTATGCAAGAGATCAATTGGGATAAAGCACTTTTTCAGCCAAACCAGTTATGATTTTGGAATACCAGTTGATCTGCTTAACAAAGTAAACCAGTATTTGTAGTCTGAACAGAAATTGTAGTCTAAACATTCTTAACTAATGTCTCAATGCAAAATCAATTAAGCTGTTGAGTGACAAAGTGTTTTAAAGAGTTGAATGCATCCAGTAGCACCTTGCAAACTCATCCCCTGCAGGTATGAAGAATGAAAAGTAAAATTCAGTAATGTCAGGGAGGATACTGAGTCACACCAAGTAGCCTGCTTTCAAGCTGTTATCTGTGGTCATGTGGCTTGGCACCATGGATGTCATAGCTTTGCAGAAGTTTGAATGTGAGCCAATATTGTACATAGATTATTTTCTCCAGGGAAAAATACATTGGGATTTTGACACCTTCAGAATAAACATTGTTATCCAGTGTCGGAACCTGAAACCAAGTTATATACTTCATTCCTTCTGCTCAGTTCATCTCTAGTATTGTTTTGGGATCAAATCTTCAACCATCAAAACCTAATTATAAGTAAAATGACAAACTAGTATTACTCACCATCTCGTCTGCTAATATGCCATTCACGTGATGTTTATGCAGCAAAGCCAACCAATTTAATCCAACTAATTGATATGCCTTAAGCTCCAAACTGTGAAACAGAAGCGAGACAGATATGAATTGACAAGAAGATTAAAACAAAACTTAACAAATTGAAACACATTTAGATTTATGCTTATTTCCGGTTATGTAAGGAAAGAAGATCTGAACTAAAATATTAATTTTGACCCTCAAAAGTTTCTATTTGAAGGATAAATTGAAGAAACGAAGAACGAAGAATGGGAGAAATATCAAAACATCTCCAGATTAAACTATTAGTGCTTTTGGAGAATATAATCCTTTAGATTTCAACTTGCTTGAGGCCCAATCTCGTAAACTGTCCAGACAACAGATGAAGTTGGGAGGACAGTCCTAAATAATACTGAAATAAATCCTTTCACTCAACATTTCATCTGTTAAATATACTATTCACCTGATATTTATCCTCAAAGGCAACTTAATTCAGCTAATAGGATTTAAAATCTGAAATGCTAATAGTTGGGTGGATAAAAGGTGCAACATTTTTCAAATTGAACATTGAGCGTGTTCTGTACTGTGTAATTGCATGATTTGGGTATTAGACATTCAATCACAAAACATCAAAACTAGTTGAAAGTTAACAAGTGCATCCTGAACGTGATGACAGATCGTCAATTAACGCAAGAAATTCCAAACTCGCAAGGGCACGTCCAAATATTATTTTCTGATTAAAAAGAGCGTTCCTGAAAATAATTAACTCTTGAAAGACTCCAAATCCTAACCTGAAGACTTAAGAAATTTTGCCTTCAGGAAGCTTTTTTTTAAAAAATAAAAATTACTTTAAAGTTATTAACAGTTTTCCTAGCTCAAAGTCAAATGTAGCAATAAGCCTACGGTCTAGTCTCGTCTGTGCACAAAATAAAAACAAGTAAGGGAATTCGCAACTCTCAATCTCTGGGCTATCTGATTCAGGATGCCACATCATCTAATAAAGTTGAGGACGACGTATTTTGATTAGTTTAATTTCTTAATTCTTTAATAGTTCTACCAATTATGTGTTTGCTCACACTGGTTTATTTTCATTTTTATTTTGATACCTTGATGCAATAAGATATTTATTCTTGGCTTTACTCACTCAACTAAAACCAAAGGTGAAACTTAACATGCATTTCAGCTACTGGATTGCTCTGGTGACCTGCTTGAGACCAAAGTCAAGTACATCTCAGAGTACCTATACTTGAATAGAATGTATACTTCAAACCAGACAGATCAGGAATTGCCCAACTTCAGGAAAGTACAGTACCAGTGAGTACAAAGCAACAGCCCTGCAACAGAACCTGGTTGTTAGTCGATTGGCAGATGCTTTTCTGGGAATAATAATCCCACAGTAATAAATAAAAATAGTAATTTGGTCACTCAATCCACGATTGTTTATGGGACACTGCTGTGCACAATTGGGTGCTGCATTTCGCCCACAAATATACAGTCAATTCACTTTACAGTATAATAATAATAATCCTTGCATTTGATATAGCGTTTTTCACGTCAGGAGGACGCCCCAAAGCGCTTCACAGACACACTGTAAAGTGAATTGACTGTATATTTGTGGGCGAACGCGGCAGCCAATTGCGCACAGCAATGTCCCACAAATAGTCGTAGATTAAAAATGACCAATGTATTATTGTTTTTGGTTTTGGAGGGATTATTATTAGACTCTGTGTGGAGTAAGGAAACTTGCCCAAGGTTTCACCCTGCCTGGAATCCGCGTGAAGGGAGCTATATAAATGCAAGTTGTTGGTGTTGAATGGGAGAATTTCCTGCTCCAGTGACTGGTCTGTCCTTTAAGTTCTGCCGATGAGCCAACGAGATTGTGATTTCATGAACAGTGCCCTGGACTATCACGGACCCTCCTGGCTCAGGAACCAGACTACTGAGACCACCACAGATGGCTGCTTGATTTCAACACTCCATTCCCAAACATGTCACCTTGGAGTCAGTTCAGCTCAAAGGAAATTAAGTCATTAAGAACAAATATGATTTAAATAGGCTATGCACTCAAAACTCAATCAAGGAATATTTTCAAATTGAGCTCCGCAACCTCACCGTTTTAAATGCACTGCATGTGGACAGAACATTTCAGACAACACTATTTGTTTAGTTACTACAAATAAAGGAAACTTGATATGTCTTGTATCTTAAAGGCTGAACCAAATCCAGACATGTGCTTAAAGGAAACGTGTCTCATCATCCACTCCTGATTGAATCTTTTAAAAACCCTAAATGTTATTAGTCATTTATATTAATGCAATGCATAAAGCATTTGAGAAGACATTTAAAACCTGTCATCTCTGATTTAAACTTGTTCAACTGTAGGCAAGACAGGAATGCATTGCGTAATTCAAATCAAACTGAAACATGCTTAAGTATCCATTGGTGATACAGTATTTGGGAGAAATCAAGAGCAATTCTTTTGTGATCATTTGAGACAATATGCTTAAACATTATCAAGAATCATAATGTCACAATATTAATGTTGGGTTAGATTTTGTCAGAGGTCGAAGGCAACTTTAGTTGAGTCGTAGACAACAAGTCCGGCAGTTTCTATAGTGGCACCAACCATTAAAGAGACAAAGCCATTGTGTTCCCTGCATGATTACATCTAAGGTCCAGTGTTATACAATATGATATATATTTATACAGCAACGTTCCTGCAGGAGGGTGTCTAAAAGCACTTGACCCTGCTTGCTGGGCACCCAAACAGGGAGGTGGTGAGGGGGTGGTTGCGGAAGGGAGCAGGGAGGGGAGCGATGACCGAAAGTGCAGGTACAAAGGTATGTCTTGAATCAGACCATGAATGAGGAGGGGAGGGAGGAAGCAAGTTGGAGCTCCAAAGAGCGGCGGCAGAATGGCTGGAAGTCCGCTTGCGGTGGGGCAGATAGGGCAGGAAACATGAAGTTGATTGAAGGTAGCGGCTGGGTTGGTTGGGTTGAAGGAGGTCGCGACGACACTAAGGAGGGATTTGAATGTGAGAACGACAATCTTGCATTTGAACCGCTGGGTGTTATGGTGTATGAAACTTAATACCTGTAACACGTTATTAGTCGTATGAAACACTGAAATGGGTGTAGATGTCCCACGGAAATGCGTTTCATGCATCAACACATTTTCTGCAGGATTTTTGAAGTTTGATAACACAGACAAACATCTTTTCCATGATATCCATATATTCACTAAATTCAGCAGTGAAATTCTGTACTTCAACCTATTTTCGATTCCATTTCTCCATTCCAGGTCTCCATAGGAGAACTGTTCCAAGAATGGTTTGTCAGCTTGAATCTGCGTGCAGATTATACACCAATTAACATTAAACAAACATCCTATGACCTTTGAAATTCTAGACTATTACGAAGAATGTTGAAATTCATATTACATGTAATAGTTATCGTCAAATTCCCAGCAACGCACATATATTTCAGAACTCGATCTCTGAAAACGTTTTATAAGCACTTAACCATGTTCAACTTTATCTATGGCTTGGTGAAGATTCACTGAAGCCCACAAAGCAGTTTCACTGCTTTTGTCTAACTTTAAATGCATAGCAACTAATAATAATAATCATCCTTACATTTGATATAGCGCTTTTCACGTCTTCTAGACGTCTCAAAGCGCTTCACAGAATAGACTGGAAAGTAATTGACTGTATATTTGTGAGCAAAACACGGCAGCTAATTCCGCACAGCAGTGTCCCATAAACAGTCATGGATTGAAGTGACCAATTTATTATTGTTTTTTTTCTTGAGGGATTATTATCAGGCGTGTGGAGCAAGAAAAATATACTTGTACACAACAAATGTATTAATCAATAATTACCTTTTGTTGAGAATGTCTGGTTGTTCGATGGTACTGTTGCTTTCACCATCATCTATAATTTGAGTCACTTGCTTTTCCAATCTTTGGGAGATGTCTGCACATCTGCACATAAGCTTATGAACTACTTCCCGCTCGTTGATGATGGTCTTGCAATGCCATATCAGGTCTTCAGACAAACCATTTGCCCGCTGGAACATTTGAAACTGGAGGAAAAAAAAGTATAAGTTAAAAGTTAGCAAGATAAAAATGGTCAGTATTGAAATTTTTGGTATATAATTATGTTCAAGCTAAACATCGGCAATAGTTTCTCTCACTCCAACCCGATCCATACTATTTGCCATTATCAGGATAAAGCTAGCTGAAGTCAGATATGTCAAGGCAAGTTCCAGAATAAAAGCTCCCTCTATTCTGATGAAGTGGCCTCAACTCCAACTTCAGAACAGCACTCTTTGATGCACCAGTTCCTACAAAAATTCTGTTAGTTTCCATGGTGCAATTCACTGATATTTTAGTTCTGTGGATGACTGTTCATGGAGTACATGAGGTTGCGCACATGGATCGATTGGTCACATCTCATTGTTACTGTGAGTAGTGGCCTGTGCAGATTACCTGCACATTTTCCCAAATAAGTCACAACAAAATAATGTTTTGAGCACTTTCAATTGCTTCATGACAAGATGTCACATCAAGTGTTTGTGGTACTGTGTTTGTGTCAAGGTTGAAACCGTCTAATCAATTTAGGATAGAATCCTTACAGCCCCCAATCTCAGGAGATCAATAGGTTACCACCTGAATTGCTTCCACTTCCAAATAAAACTTGCAATTACAATTCAGCGTACTTAACAGGGGCTGTGTGGAAACCCGAGAAAAGCGAGAATTGTTTGTATCAATCAATTCACTGGAAAAAATAACTAAACTCTAATTTGTTAAAAATATGAATTAAGCTAGATTTCTTCCAAGAAACCGTTTGTTGAAAAACAATTGTGAAGTGATACCATTGTTTTCTGGGCTGCACAATTCGGTTTTGTGTGGTTTTGTCAGGTAAAATTGTGCTCACATTCCTACAAAAGTAAACCCAACACCATAAATCAAAATAGAAATGGATTGTCACCTGAGAGGAAATATAGGTTAACATTTCAAATGTACCCTTTATCAGAACACTGAGGATCTCGATCGACTGTAGATTTACAGCATTTGATCGTTCACATTTAGTTTCTTTTTATTTGTCCCATAAATCATGTCTGGATAGAAATTTTGCATTCTCCTAAATTTGCCTCAAGTTAGAATTCATCAATGGTTGTACAAACCGGTGAGACTGTACTCATGCACAGATAGGATTTGTTCCTACTAATTCATTCCAAAAAAGGTTCCAAAACATATTTCTGAAATTTATAATCCTGAACGCAAAGGGAAAAAATTGTAAAGCTTCACAGCATAAAATATTCAGTAACTCACAATATTCTTAGCCATTTTTACTCAGAATAGAAACATGGTCTTTAACAGACTAACGAATTTATACCAAACTAAGCTAAAATTTATGAGAAAGAAACAGGAGAGACCAATGTGCAACATCTGTCTCTGGTCCCAAATTTTTAGAAAAGTAGCAATTCTACCTCTTAACGCGCTCAATTTCTCAACAAATATCAGTGGTAGATTTTCCAGCCCGTCTCATTTTACAAATTTTAGTGGAAAATGCACATTTTCAAATGAGGAAACCATGCAGATAATGAGCAATACCACAAATTTAGTGCACTATATACTGCACAATATGCAAATACATCTGCTAGCAGTAAGTGGACAAATATTTTTAAATTTACCTTACTGCACAGTATAAATGATCAGACAAATACCATTAATGACCACTTGACATAATTAATCCATAAAGTTTTACATTAATGGCAGTGGTGATAGAAAATTCTTCATTAAATAGCAATATTGTTTTAACACTAGAACTAGTCATACCAATCTCAAACATCAACACAACTATTTCAGGTTTACCACACAGCAGAAAATGTATGCACTTTGGAACTTGAACAAAAATTATAGTAGTAATTCACTTTAATTAAATTGTTTAAATTAATTTTAATCATCTTCAAAACTTAGGGTTAGGGTTAATTTGTTAATTACATAATAAACCCTTTTATATTTGCTTAATTACATAATTAGGAGTACCCGCTATCTCTCACACATGTTTATATATGTTAATAAACTCCACTGATGAACTGGGAAAGGGTTTAAAGAATAAGAAGGACTAGTCTCAAACATAGAATTTTACGTTATGAGGAGAGATATTCAGAAAAAAAATGTTTTTATCTGAGAGAGTACTGGAGGGAGGGCAGATAGGAGGGCAGATAGGAGGGCAATGTGATAAGATTTTTAAAGTGCTGAGGGGCTACTTGATTTTACAGTGCATGTACAGAAGAGCATATTGTTACAATTATCAACAGTAAGAATCCTTGCATTTGATATAATGCCTTATCGTGTCATCAAGACGTCTCAAAACGCTTCTCAGAATATACTGTAAAGTGAATCAACTGCATATTTTGTGTGTAAAACGCCTCAACACAAGGAGAGATTTGTAGTACGAGAATTTGATCACAAAGCGGATATATGGAAAAGACTGCCAAGATGCATCAATTAAAAATAAAAATAGAATCTGGGTGCTTGGGAATTTCATTGGAGGTTTTCAGGATAATCATACTGAAATGAATATATATTTCAATAGAAACTACATGACTGGAGCCAGGGTGTTGGGAAAGAGAAATTGTCTGCAGATAGAAATAGGCTAAATGTGAAGTAGATTGAGCAAATTACATGAGTAACATAGAACATCTGTTTAGAATTCTTTCCCCTGCCTCCATGGGATGGTGTGTGAAGTCCACAATTTGGGTAGGTTTCGGTTACCGTGAAAGTTGCTTGAACGACCAAGTAATGAACTGGATTTATGATAAATTGGGTTACAGGGAGGCAGGGCTCCAGACTACACTGACTGGTCAATTAAGGAAATGAAGGAAAGTTGGCTTCACAGTTGGCACATTTCTGACAAAGCTCCTCACATGTGGAACTGGATTAAGCAGTTGGTAAGTGGCACTGAACGTGGACATCTAGAACATCAAGTTGTCCTGCAACTGCTTTCCACCATGTCAAAGGCAGATGTTCATCAAATAGCTGATAAGGAAAGTTTGACACTTGGCATAACAGCTGCTAGACACCATTACCTGGAGTCCAGGTTCAGAATCACATGCTTATTTATCCAGGGCTTGGGATCCACCTTGATTAATGAGCAAAGAAAAGCATCTGCTGCTGAAGTCCACACTATTAACTGGTGGAAACATTGCTCAATGGGTAAGGGCGTGGCAGGAGGATGATGGCAATTTTCTAGTGCATTTCATGCTGAGACTTGGAAGGAGTTACTAGTACTGTTCATGACAGACCAGCTCATTGGCAGTACTTAGAGGAACATAAACGTTACTGTTTGGCTCCTAATAATCTTGTAAACCAAAGTCTTTGAAAAGGGTGGTCCTAGCAGGAAAACGTGTGTGGTATGTGTGAGAGGAAATGAAAAAGCAAACTAGAAAAAAGATGTGCACAAGGGAGCGAAAATGAGAGAGGAAAAAATAAGAGCACAATGTGATCCTTGAAAAATTGAAGCCAGGTCAAAAGATCATCTATTAAATCACTAATTCCAGGATCCTGGTTTTGTTTCATCAGCAAACCTGCTGACCATTGTCAATCTACAATAGGCATCTATACAAAATACAGTAAACATTTTTAGTCAGTCAGTCACAATTATGCACTAATGCTTCAGACATTTGACTAGTCAGAATATCAGCTTCAAAAGATAAATGTGCAAATGCGTTTATTCTGTGCAATGAGAGCAAACATATTTGCTCATCATAAGCTTATTTTACAAAGGGCTCTTGGAATCCTACAAGAAAGATAACTTTTTTTCTTTCATATAATTCAAGGATCATATGTACACACATATAGAATAAGAACACCGCTAATAAATTAACCTGGACCTAACAATACAAGCACAGACAAATTGCTGCTGCCGATGATTTGTTTGTGCAAGGATTTGCTTACTATTGGATTTGACTTTGATTTTGTAACCTAGATGCAATGCTGCACTGAATTAAATCAACACTTGAGAAACATTCATTCACTTCCAGCACAAGTTGGCAATCTTCCTCCTTTTCTACACAATGTTTTTCAAAGATCAGTGATACAATAATGGTCAAATATCAACTCAAACCTGTTTTGCCCTGGTGAAAGGAAGTAGACTATTTAATAACCCAGAGTACACAGACCCAAGATCTTGATGCAACATGTTCCATAATTCAGCATTTCTCAGTGTTCCAGGTCCCTGAACAAATTCATAGGTTCCAGAGAATTCATTTTAGAGAGTAACTGGAGACCAAGAAGAATTTTTTCCCTAAACTCCAATATCACATCCATTTGCGGCAAGTATTGACAATACTTGAGTATTTATTTAGATTGATGCAAAGGTACCAATAGTTCCAAATCCTTGAAAGATTATGGATTCCTCAAGTGCACACTATGACATTTAGTTAATGCTGAATTAATCTTTTAAATTGAGAAGTGTGGAACGAGGATGATTGTTCACAGGAGTTGAACTGCTGTTAAATTAAAACACATGAATCGTGGACACCCTCAGACAAAGGCAACTAGAAATAATACTAGCAGCAAGATCACTATAGAATTAGCGGAAATGCAACTGTGATGACATAAACAGCATTTTCTCAAGACAATCCACTGCGCTGTGTGATTATAAACAATAATCTACAAATGAGACAGGTTCTTAATTCAGTTTGCATGAATTTTCCTCCCAGATCAAAAGTTGGAAGCTTTAGCAATTTCTGAAAATGTATTTTTTATGATGGCTGTAAGTGTATGCACCTGATGTAGATACACATGGAAATAGTTGGTGTTGGCTGCAGCATTCTGTCCAGTTTACTCAAGTCTACCAAAACATATTTTAAAATTTGCTAAAATGATAATCCTTTCATTTGGTGTTGTGCCTTGTCGTAAAAATAATATTTGTATTTGATATATCGCTTCATGTCTTCGAGGTGTCTCAAACAGCTTCACAGAATATACTGTAAAGTGAATTGACTGTATTTATTTTGTATGGGCAAAATTGTGTATTGCACTTTCACATCAGGAAAGTGCCTCCCAGGAT